CCGATTCTTATTTGTAGAACAAATAAAAGAACTTAAGGCTCATTCCCAATGAAACTTATGATCTGTGATAGTCAATCCAACTGTGTGAGGACTATCAGTGAATGCAATCAGGCTAACTTGGCATAAGGTTGAATAAAGAAAAGCTGGTAATTACACAAGTACAATTAATGTAAGCAAGAGTCCCCCTGGAGTTGGATCCATCTGCAAAGATTGATAATTTCATTGGGAATGAGCCCTTAAATGTGGTGAATAAAACATGTAAGTACTCACCATTTTTCCCACCATCATAACATAAGGACCCAAGTGCTTGCTAACACTGAAGATGTCTAGAATTCTTATATACCAAAATATGATGTCCACACTGAACACCACATGGCCGTCTTGAATGTAGGACTCCATATTGCGGAGCACGGCACCAATTATATACAGGACAATGGCAATGACATCTAGGATGTTCCAAAAGTCTCCAAAGAAGACTGAAAATTTCTGCAATGCTTTTACTGGCTCCGATGCTATAATCTGACAAATATAAATCAGAACATATGAATCATTTTACAGTATCAAGTATTAAAGCTAATGCTTAAATTGAACTGTTTTGGTTAAAATGAAAAAAATTAGGTAGAACATTTTTTTTCTTTTTTTTTAATTGCAACAGGCTCCTACATTTTCAATATCTTGCTGGAAAAAATAATTTTCAAATTTACTCACAGTTCACTAGCTCTTTTATGTACTGAAAAAATCATTTATAAATCACCATGATTCAAAACATACCTCTCTTGCTTTATCAATGGCTAAAGTAAAGATGTAAGCCATGACGTAAATCTCTACCCATGAAGGCTTTGGTGGAGTTTTAACCAGAACAACATAATTGAATGAAGCTAGGAAAATGACATAGGCCATCTGGAATTAAAAAGCATACACATGTATCCTAATGACACATACAACAAGTACATCATCATCCAATGTTCCTAAAGTTTCTATGAATGAAAACTGAGTAGATAATATACTGCCTGGAATATTAATATATTCTCAGTGAAATGCAGTGCACTTTTCATATGTGTCAAACACTAGGTAACATGAGCAGCATACCATTCATCTTCTTCTTCATAAATCTTGAAACAAGTTTTTTTTCTTTATGACAAAAAAAGAGATATTCTTGAATTACAAACCAAACAATAAGTCATACACAATTTTGATCCACCATCTATTGTTGTGATTGCAAGCTTGAATGGCTGAAAAACCTTTTTTTGAATTCATACTTCTTTCTCTATGCCTGCTTACCGTATGCAGCCAAAACTTGGTGATAGGAGCAGCATAAAACTCATACACTTTCTTCCCCACTCTCAATGGGCTCTTTTTCTTCATGAAATCTGTTACTCTATGGACTGTCAAGGCACTCTGGTCCAACAGAGGACCATTAGAGTTCACAGGGGGGCTGACGGGACTGTTGACAGGGGAGGTCACTTCTGTGGCATCTGCTGACCTGTCCAAGTTTTGTCCTTGACTGGCATTGATCATCTGGAATGTTACATTTGTATCTTAAATAATATCAGTTGTATTTCTTTTACTTCCAGAGGCATAAATTCGAAAATCAGAATGAAAAATTAAAACTTCTTGAAGTACTGACTGTCATGTTAACACATATAGAATTTCTCAACATGACCCTTTGGCAAAAAGTTTTTTTTAATATTCTTGTCAACAAGACATACCAAATAACAGTTACTGGCAAGCATAACTTTTTTCAAAACTTAAGGCAACATGTTTTCATATTATTCAATAAACAAATAAATGAAATAAATAAATAAATAAATAAATAAATAAATAAATAAATAAATAAATAAATAAATAAATAAAAACTTTGTCAGCAAAGTAACTAAACAACCATTGGTGATGAAGAGTAATTTTCATTTATAATCATGGTGAATAAATAATGAATTCAGAATGTATATACTTACCTCCATCTCAATGTCCTGCTCACCATATGATGACCTGCGGCTGACATTGGACTCTGTGTCAGAGTCCTCGATTTCCCCAATGTGTTCCTCCACAGTCTGTGGCATTAATTGCAGCTCCTCTTTACTTTTATACTCCAGGGCAAGCAGAAGAGGGGGGATTAAAATACCCATCAATACCTGACCATCAAAAGAAATCAAGAAAAAATTGGATTATGATAATAAATTGAATAAAAAAATGTTGCAGTCTCTTGCAGACAAATTTGTTCAAACATAAAATACACTCTCACTGCACCCTCAAATTGGCTTCAATAATATTTTACTTTATGCATAAATGTGACAACATCGAAATCAAACACATGAGTAATTTTTTTACTAAGCCAATTTGATACTATTTACAATATTGATCATTTTCTAGTTTAAATCCCATTCAAAATCTCTTTCAGTATCTGTATATGCTAAATCATTTTTCATACTATTCTAAACCCCTTTCCATTTTCAAAAAATCAATTTCTATTTTCCAGTCTGCTTCTCTGGGTTATAGTATCACCTTCAACACTGTGTACTTCCTCATATTCAATCCTCCCATCCACATATCAGTGAGCAGCATCTGGCAGCAGGGGTGGGCCAGGAACTCCCTGTGGACGGCTGACACAGCCAGGCTTAGGCAGGTCTGGTTACTCCAGTTCTTCAGTTCATAAGTCAGTAACTGCTTGGTGGCATCTGCATCCGTCTTGTAGCACACCTCCAGGAGCTCCATTGTTATGTTCTGAAATTCCCTATAAAAATCAAGATGCCAGTTTATATAATAATTATTTACTTGTGCAACAAATAATCCCAGGAAAACAGGCACATAAAAATTGAATTCTAACTGCTATATGATATTTACAAAATAAACAAAACTTGATATAAAAACTATACAACTTAAATCACTTTTTAATTTTAGATCCAGAATTTTCCTAGTTATTAATCTTTCAACAAACAAGCCAAAAATTTACAAAGCTCAGTCTGTATCAAAACAAAGCCCAATGCGCCCCTCAGGATGTACACCATGCTTTAGGAATCTACTGGCACAATTCAGGTAGAATAAAACAATGGACAGTAGATTTAAACAAATTTACCAAATTGCCCAGTCTGGCATTTGACAACACAAGGGGCCAGTGCTGACATTACAAACTAAAAAGCACTCACTTCGAATAAGTCCGTAACTCCTCAAATATCTCCACCTCCAGGTCATCCTGTTCGGCCTCCCGCGTCATGGTCTTGTAGATCTTCAGAGCCACCAGTGCTTTAGCCATGGCCTCCTCTCCGTGCTGCCACATACACATGGCCATCTTCTGCCTCTTCATCAGCACGGCCCAGACCAGCAGCTCATTGAATGGGTACTTGAACACGTCCTGGAAGTCTATCAGATTGCCTGGCATGGGGACTGTGGCTAAAGCATTGCTGATGTTGTGGCCCTGTTGTGAATGAAATGTGCCATTAATAATGATGTCAATGACAAAGTATGTGGATTCCTAACATTAGGATTTATGAAAATAAGTGTGACATAATGAAGCTCTGAAACGCTTAAGTCATTCACTTGAATGAAAAGATGTGTATTATAGTTCATATCATATCTGTTCATTTTTAGATGGAAACTTGGTTGAAGCTTTCTTGAACCAATCAAATGACAAGTAGTAAAAACAATACAGTTATGTGCAAAGTGCCATTGTGCAAGGGTAACACTTAGCTTTTGATCAAATATTGGTGATAAAACAACCTGCACATTTGTGAGCCACTTACTAGCCTTATTATAGGTAAAGGCTATAGGTAAAGGCTATAAGCAAATGTATCACTTTTTAAAAATCAGTTACAGTTTTAGTATGATAAAAAATTTGAAGGCTACACACCTGAAAGATCTGACTAGGCGACTGGCAAGGGTGACAAAAAAGAAAAGAGAAGCAAAACACAATATTATAGAAAACTGTATTTCAGCACACAGTGAGATGTAGACTGCACAACATACAGATATTATAAAAATATATGAAAGTGTATAAAGTCTATTTGCATACATAAAGGTGGTTCTGCTTTACCACTATAAGTGTGCATGTGTGCAAACATGCACATGCACAGGTATGTGCAATCTACAACTCTAAAACATGACAACAGTATATAAATGAAATGCAAAATTTTAAGTGACTATCAAAAACATAGCCTTTAGTCATCAAACTAACATCTTACATTGAAAGTGCATTTGGTGCATTTAAACAGTAGCATTAACCATGACAGTGCAAATAGGGGGAAAACTGTTTTCAAAAATGAAGAGTACAACATTTACAGTGCAAAGTGCACAGAGGTTACAACATTGCATTGCCACTACCTTCTTCATCATGGCATTGTAAGTAGTTCTGAACTTCTTCCTGCAGTATGAGGCTCGGTACGCACCTCCCATCAGGTAGTCTATTACCTGGCCAACTTCTAGGAGTGTGTAGTGGGCATGCTCAGGGTGTTTCTGAAAAGTTGGTTTTGTTCCTCTGTTAAATCTACCTTCAGTAATGATGTACTGAGAATTGCAAGCAAGGAAAAAATATAAGTTGTACTTTGATATCAATAAAATTTCATCTCAAACACGTAACCATTTATCTTGAAATTCAGTCACAATATGAATCTATATTTTATTTATTACTCTGAGTCAACAAATCAATACATTACAAAGATCATAGCTTTGTCACAAATTTGCACCATTTTCAAAGAATCTTCATAATCTGCTGGAGGAAATATTAAGCAAAACCTTAAAAGCATTTGAGTATTGATTTAATGTGAGTATTTACCTTTTTTAAGACATTAAAAGTCCTAAATGGAACAGAAGTTGGTGTGGCTTGCTTCTGGAAAGGAAACAGAAGGAAATAAAATAGCTTTTCTTGGCAGCAAGAATTCCAGACATTTTCCTTATTCCGATATTAAGGGTCATTCATTTTTATAATCGTTTTCACAAGTCTGGGGGGAGGGGGGTTAATGCCCTATATGCACTTTTGAAAAAATTATACAAACTATGATCTTCACCCCCAGGAATGTGCTGGCAAAGGTCATTGTATTTAGCTTTAATTTATACCTTGTACTCTCTGAAAGGGGATGGGGGTCTACTTTTTGTAGACTTGGGAAAACGATGATAAAAAGGGATGGCCCCTAGTGCCATTTTCCCAACAAATGTTGATTAATCAGCATATTATCTTCCCCACGTTTTACTTCACATTCACAATAACAAACCTGAAATCTATATGGAATATAAATGAACTGATAATTTTTATAAATTTCTGTGTTAAAAGAAAAAAAAGAAAAAAGAAAGAAAAATTACCCTTGTGCTGGAACTTAAATGCTAAAAGTTTAAACTCACAATATTATAAAGTTCCTCCAGCCTGGGTATTGTAAGAAACTTCTGCATACTGACTCCATTCTGGAGCAACAACTTTACAAAGTCTACTCTATCATTGGTCAGGGCATCCATCATGGCATGTTCAAGTGCTCCTTCCTAAAAATGAAATTTTGAGACTGGTTAAAGTCCTCTTGATGCTGAAGTTTAAGCATTTTTTATCTTGAGGACCTTGTATGACATTTAATTGAGTCAAGTCAACTTTCAGTTCCTACCATAAATATAACAAGGCAGCAAAGCTGTCAAATGTACAGACAAAAACCAGAAAATAAAAACGCAGGAAATAGGATACTGTCAANAAGAAAAAACAGTTTTCCACTTATCGTGTTATCGGTAAAAGTGCACGGCGACGACGGCGACGGCGACGACAGACGCGGATGATGGCTATATGTACAGACACATCTGTGTCTGTACATAAAAAGAGAGATAATGGAGATTATACACGTACATAAAAGTACACCATTTTCAAGATGAAACTGGTAAAAAATTGGGAACAAATAGAAAGATAAAGCTTAGACATTATTCACTGAGATATTATCTGAACAATAGCAGTGAAAACCTTGGAATTAAATTGAAAGATAAAGCTGAGACATTATTCACTGAAATATTCTCTACAAAAACCTTGTCCATTCTCAGTAAACTTACAACCATCACACTGTCATGTGGTCAGATCTAGAACATTAGAGCAACCAAAACAATCTGAGAAAGTTAAATTGTAATTAAAAGTTAATTTTATGCCTTATTATGGCCACTATCAAGTCCACTTGACAAATTACAATGAGAATCCTTCGTAGCAGCATTAAATACTGAACAAAGTATTTGTTGAGGTGGGTGTTCCTTCACACTTATGCCTGAATACTCTGTTTTTCTTCCATGATTTATTAAGCAACATCCTGAAATAAATCTCTCAAATCAATGTGCTCCTTAACAGACAAGGATAATATTCCGGGTACGATAGAGTCATGCCATTTAAGATGACTGATCACCAGGCAACAAGGGTTTCAGAAGACACTGGATAGTCAACTCTCTACTATCTCCTTATCTCTGTGGTTTCCAGTGTCTGTAACCCAGAGTGTCACCAAGAGACAGCTAAACCAAAACACAACGGCTAACAAAGCATGATATTTTCACAGTGTATATATTTAGAGAATTTCTCATTGAACAACATACATACACGTACCAGACTAATGAAGCAATTTAACTTCAAGGTAAAACATGTAGAAAAACAGTGCACACTTTGTAGACTCTGTATTGTGTTGAGCCACATATTGAGGATCAAGTTTAAACAGCATGTAAACCCTGTGGGAGTGAGGATTCATCTTGGATTACCATGCATCAAACCCTCAATAACAACAACAACATCACAGCCTTTAGCAATTCTAATCTACCAAGAAGAGAGATCTGCCAAAGATATTTAAATGCCAAAACCGTGTTCATATCAAGACTGTAACTTGGACCAGAAATTGATGCAGTCGACAACCAAATGTTTTAAACTGTGTTCACTTCAAGAATAACTATAATGACTAGAATGGCCATAAAGTTATTGAGAGAGAGAGAGAGAGAGAGAGATGCACTTTTTCAGACCCCTTTGAAATTGCTGGCTACTTGCGCCTGCCACTTACCGGCCATTCCCGCCCATACACAAAGATGTGTTTTTTGGCAATGTCCACCCTGTTCCAGGTTAGTGCTAAGCTCAGCTGGTCTGGGGCACTGGCATTCTGACCTGAACAAGGAGACATTATAGTCCATATACAGCTTTTAATTAATTTAGATTATTACATCAGGCATGTATAGGGATCCAACCCTTCATACACATACAATGTATTCAAAGTTAAAACAAATAGCTTTTGTTTCAATGGTGCTGTCATCAATTTATACAGAAATTGCATTTAATGAATCAAAGGTCTGGCAATTTATTTCTCTTTTTCTCTTAATTCATCAGAAAAACTGCAACTCATCATAATAACTAATTGTCTTTGAATGTCATTTATCTTAAAAACTATTTTGCTATTACTTTTCATACAGTAAAAGCAAAGGCAACTGCAAAATACCACTACGGTAATATCTCACAACAAAAATTCATGGTTTCACTTAGACATCATTGGTTTAAGCCACGTACCTCTCTGTAAAAGAGCGCTTTAAGGGATAACTATTCCCAATCATTAACCATTCATCAAGTCTTCCCAGACATGTAAAGAGTACTTGAACAGCTAGATGGTTTCTTGTATGTCTGGTTTCAGAGACGAGTTTCTTACCTTTCAGCAGTGCAGTCAATATGGCCAGATCGATGTCTGTATTTTCTCCTTCTCCCATTCTGAATACTGTGATCTATAAACACACAGAGCAAAAAAATTATTAAACAAATACAAATACATAACAGGAAATTTTTCAGACAAAATAATAAAACATGTATAAATATTATATCTTCAATACTCCAAACCCTAATGGCAAAATATTCTGCAACTGGAAAAAATAAATACTTCTTTCTCTTAGATATTTAAAGTTGAAAGCAGTGTATAAAAGATTAAGGTAAACATGAAGTATTTGAAAATGAAAAAAGAGAAAATTCTCACAGTGGCTCTCTAAGAAAGCATTAAGCTTTTTTCAATTCAAGGTGCACAGAAGAAAAGATGTAAGTTTGAGAGGAGAAAGCAGTTGCATAGAGAAATATACTGTGGAAAAAGTCCATTAAATATATCTCACCAATTCTTTCTTATTCACTGCTAACATTAATTCCATGTACAGTTTCTCAGATTCCTCCTTGTTGTATTGGAAAGTTTTCTCTATTGTAAGAATAAGCTGGCTCTTCACAGCTTCAGGCATAGTACTAAAATAGTAAGTATCTATTGAAAAATCTCTAGATGAACTAACAAAAGAGACTTTTCTGACCTTATTCTAGTAAGTTAGCTAATCTTCTAATGTAAACCAAATAACAAATAAATCTAATTGCATCAAAACTGAAATATCAAAATCAAGGTGCCTTATCTTTACCACAATGACCTAAAGCATGCAATTCCACAAAGCTGTACCAAATCAGAAGACTAACACCCCATTTCCATAGATTAGATCGACCTACTTTAGATCGACCTAACTCCCTGGGGGTTAACGCTAAATAGCTGTCAGCCGGGCGGACACGAAAGTTAATTACCCCCTTCTAGCTTGTAGTAGGCGGGACGGACATTTAAGTCGGATTATCTGAAAGTAATCTAGTGAGACTCCCCGCAGGGATAGATCGATCTAAAATCTATGGGAATAGAGCCTAAGCTTAGAAGAATAAGGATAGAGAATCGACATGTCTTGTCAAATGGTAAGACCTAGCTTGTCAAATGGTAAGACCTAGCGTCCAGAAAGTTAAGGAGATTAGGATACTGACAAAGTTTTAAAGAAGTTTCAACACACTTGAACATAGTATCACATAATATGAGAAAAATTGACCCAAAGCTCACCCATCCTCATTTGCATATTTATGAGTGAATGCCAGGATGTCTGCTGCCCTCCCACTCCCGTCACATATGACCACAGGGATTGGAGGGTCATCTGTCACACAGTCCAGTACTGTCCGAATAGTGTTTGTACCTCCTTCAAGAATCAGAGAAACCAGAGGAACCCCATGGCCCTTCACTATGCCACCAGCTGGAAAACAGTATTTGTAGCATATATTTCTTTTCCTCCTTTACTTATTTATTTATTTGCTTATTTATTTATTTTTTTGCAAGCTTGATCCAGTTGGGCAATAATCATATAAGCAAAAATGATTATTAACAAGGAAAAATGATCAAAGTTCATAAAACAGGGAAATTAAGCATAGATGAGGGCTAATTGGCTTATAAGAACTAGCAGCACTTCATAATTAAAACCGTTAGTCATACAAAGAGCATTAGCTTTTTGTATTACAAAAAATTACTTCTGGGAATTTTTCTGGAACTTGCAATAATTTCCAAATTCTCATGGAGACTGAGATTGTAGAATTGCATTTGTCAGGACATAAGGAGCAATTAAAAGGGTAGGTTAAAAGATCATAATTTTCTGAGCAATTTTGGATAAAGTATGCCTTGCTGATAAAGAGAAAACTGCGGAAATTTCCAGGAAAATTAATTTCTTTTGCTACATAAAGAAAGGTCTAATGTGCTTTGAATGCCTATAAACTTGGCATGTGCTGATACCCATACTAAACAGGCTTCAAACAAAAGAGAACCTGTTAGATATTAGTTTGAAACTGGGAAAATGTCACTGACTGTTAGAGCTTATTAGTATTATATTCATTTTTCATTTCCTATCCCAAAGTAATTTCACCAAGCCAGGTCTATAGTATAATATCAAACACAAAGCAGGAGTAAATGACTTTATTGCCAATCTATTTATGAATGAATGAATGGCAAGAACAGATCATCAGTGCCAACCACGACTTGTGATGAATATTAAAATAGTCAAGAATCTAAGTGCTTTAGGGTCAATAACCATCTCCCTTGTGTCATGCAAAAAACATGTTTTTATCTGCAAAGATTGATCTGTTAGGAATTGACATCAAAACATATTAATTCATAAATCTTGATAATTCTTAGTACACTATTTTCATATACATATAATAATATGAATATTTTGCATCCCTGTGTGAGTGCATGCGTATACATGCATTCATGTGTGTGTGTGTGTGTGTGTGTGTCTGTACATACATCATTGTCTGCGACATCGACACAACGTACCACTAGTGATCTTCTGCAGTGAGATGACTTTCTCAAGTTTCTTCCTCAGCTGTATTTCTGCACCATACTTCCCGACTGTCCCATTATCCACCAGAAAGAAATAGGAATGATACTGGTTCAGCACAGCATAGTGGCTGTGTGATGGAGCTATAGCGTGATATGGACGGACAACCTGAAGAATGAATGTTGACCATCTGTTATCCACAGCCATGAAAATACACCAAAAACTGTGCACCAATATATGGAACAGGTAGAGCAATTAACCGAGTACATTTTCTCTATAAAAAGATGGATCTACATGAGAATAATGCAGCAGTGGGAGCAGCATGCACATTCCTTTTACAATGATGGATTGTAGACCTAATATATTATTGAAATGTATATTGGCTCTCATATATATGTTTATATATATATATACTATATATATATATATATATATATATATATATATATATATATATATATTGTTGGAAATACCAATAAATACCACCAATAATGCACCAATAAATAAAAAGTGCACTAAAATGTTAATGCCAAAATGAATATTCATTATCATAACAATTACAAAATCAAAGTAAATTATGAAAAAAATGCCTGATTCATTCACTACCCCCTTAATTCAGTCATTGATATAAATTACCATGATCAAATTTGTTCATTCTTGGTTGTAAAATGAGCATTTCAAGTCAAACAGATGGATAGAGAGATAATTATGACACATGCTTAAAACATTTATTGTTACAAAACATGGTATCAGCAACTAACATACAATAATTCAACCAATGTACTACTTATGTTCATGTATAACAAAAGAAGAACAAACACTTTATCTGTGCTTTGATTTATATTGTTTAAATTCCAGAACATTATTGCCACTTGAAAACATACATAGGAACAGTAAATACATTGTATAGAAATGCTTTTTAGCTGTAGATTTTTAATTCATAAGACTGAAATTAGGAACATGCTGGTTTTGTAATATTAATGTCACCTCAACTGGCTTCAAGAAACACAAACACATATCTTGAATAAATTATTTGAATGCCTTCCACATCCTTCTGGTGTGATATCCCTTCAAGGAGGTAGTGGATAATGAGTCTGACGCAATTAACAGGTTAACATCATTAGCACATCTCTTTACCACTCTACAGTTATCAGGGATATGAATTTTAAGTTCTTTAAAAGTCGGAAATCTGCTAATAGTCTGAAAAATCTTATTACTGTTTTAAGTGCCAACACCAACCGAAAAGACAATAGAGGGGGAAAATCTCATCCCTGTATTATTATCACATTGGCATGACAACTTCTAACTAATGTAGGAGTGTTCATTCTTTGCCACAGTTCCACAAGTAATGTTTATTATTTCTCATAAATATCACTGGTGCACACTTCTGAATGCTTGTTATCTGGACTAACCCCAGGGTTCATTGATGCAAAAGGCACAATAAGGATTAATTGTCTGTAAAACACTCTTCACCCTACATTAACCTTCAACAAGGAGTGCTAATCCTTTCCTGGAAATTTCAACAATTTTTGCTTCAGGTAGTGTCCTTTTGCTATACTATGCAACAACCTCACACATTAGCGTCAGGAGCTGGTGCTGGAGATCAATCAATGCAAATCGGTTTTATCAAAAACAAGGTGCCACAGCAACAAAATTTGCATGGGTACCTATTAATTTTTTTTTGTTATCTATCTCTGCCTATGTACTGAAGAGCATGTGTAGGAGATATGGACTCTGAATGCACTTCATCTGTGAGGAAAATGGAAAATATACGCAAAAACTTAAATTCTCCATTGGGTTCTATAGTAATTGAATCCAAAGTTCAAATCACTAAAGCAACAAAACTTACATGGGTACTTATCAATTTGTTAATCTTAAAATGGATGCAACTGTGTCAACTGTGCATGTAAAAAATTTCAGAAAAATTTATCAGATAGAAAAATCATAAGCATTACCTTCATCACCAATTCAATCTAAAACCTGTGACAAAAATGTGTTGAGTCTGATACAAAAAATTTATATTTTTATGGTAAATATTAGAAATTGTGAGTTCAAAAACAGGTTTACAGATCATAACTTTCTTTCAGTTGATAAAGGGAAATTTTGCTGAATTTAGCCTCTTCTATTTGGTTACGTAAAGGTCGCAACCATGCATTTCGGTATGCTTTTTAAGTTTTTAAAAAATATTACTAAAAATGACAAACACAGAATGCCACACTGAATTTTCAATCTTTTTTCTGATTTAATGAACATATAACTGAATAACCTGCATTAGCAATCAAACAAACAAAATATATCCATTTATAGAACCTTAGGCTATGGTTCTATGAATAGATAAATTTTCTTGTAACATTTTAGATAATATGATGGTAGTTGCAGTAAGATTTTTGTATTTGTAAGTGAAAAAATTTTGTGTATTTGCTCTGTGATATTTGATATCATATACCATGTGCTATCAAAATTGAAATTGTATTTTTTACATTGTACTTATTCTTATTATAACAACAATAATAAGTATATTGGGAATGTTTGCTGATAGTCCCTTTTAGTGAAAGATTGTACTTAAAAACTTTTCAACAAATTAAATATGTTTAAATGACTAACAGTAACATGGCCTTAGTTTTTCTTCAATAAAAAACTCGCAAAAGCCAATTAAAATAAAAAAGAAAAGAAAGGTCCACTTTTCAGAATATCTTTGAAACTGCTGGCTACGTGCTTGTTAGCACATACAATTTCAACACTCAGGCAAATAACAGACTTACATCTTTTCCTATCAACTCTTGTCGGTTGTGGACTATTCCCCAGGGTGCTATACCAATAGTTACAATGTTATTCCTTGTTTTTAATGACTGTTCTCCTATTCCTTCTCCAACATGTCTTGTTACACCTGAAAGTAGAGTTTTGAGATTAGTGTAGAGAATATATACAGCAAACAATAATTTTCAAAAATAATAAACCACATCAATACTGAGATTTTAAGCAATGGATGATAACAAAAAGGCAAACTCTGTGACAATGATGAATAAAGATTTTTGTCTAATTTTGGTTGATAGGGTTTTCAAAATACCTTTAAAACTCACCAGTGCTGGTTCTACATTTACCTGTGACAAGGAGTGATGCCATAAAGACAAACAGTGATTTTGATAATAACCAATTAATTTTTTTTCTTTAATTATCTTTGGTTGGTTAAGGTTTTAGAACTCTCTATCAGAAACCCACCAGTATTGGTTCCCCCTGTGACAATCCAAGCACCTGTGGTATTGGCCGCCTTGAGAAGACCTTTTCTGAATACCCTCTTCAGCTTGGGCTGGAGGTCAAAGTTCACTATGCCCCCATGGACTGAGATGAGGAGCTTTGGGAGCTCCAGACCCCAGTGCTTGGTGAGGAGGTGGAGTAAAACCTCTGGCTGGGTTTCATGGGACATTCGTACATACTGCAAAAATGAACAAGTAAATCTTGTTATTTCCTTGCTAATCTTCTTGTATCTTTTCATACATCAGCTACATAGTTTTTAAAGGAGTGTTAAGTTATCTCCAGTATCATGAGCACATATTTGAACATTTTTTAATATTTTAACAATTTCAACAATATGAAAAAATCAACAACCAGAAACTTTTTTGCCTAATTTTTCAGTTTCTTAAGAAAAATATGTCAAGGTCAATATTATGTTGAAGGTCATTCTGAAGGTCAATGTAAAGGTCACGTCACCTGGGCTTTGGTAGGATGTGGCCCGCCTTGGAATTCCAAGGTGCCAAATGCATCTGTGGGTAACAACTGTGTGTGTTTCCAAGGGTCCCAACGCACAGATGAATCTGGCAGTGGCAGAGAGATATCTGAGGTGACGGTGTGATTTTTCTTGGCACGCCCACATCCACATCTAGAATAAAAGAAATTTGCAGCATATCTTGTCATTCAAGGGTTACTGCAAAAACATCATTTCTTGTATACACTGTATGATGCTTCTTTTTATGTACACACCCACATCTAGAATGGAAGAAGTTTGTCTAGCCTTTCAAGAATATTTGCTGAACCACCATATGCTTTACATACGGCTCATCCATGCATTTAAGTTGGCATTTATGTTATGACTTTTCTGTAACTTTAGATAACAAAAGATCATTCAGAAACATCCCATTACATTTGGCATTTATGTTTTATTATTATTTTCTTTTATTAAGTAAGTACAGCATATACAATTATGTAGGAGATTCCGATAGTTGATGTCTTAACCTTTTTTTATATATACTGTAAATTCCACACAGTTAATGGCAAATGCTTTCAGTACCTCAAGTCAGCACTTCAAGTAAAATTAGGTCCATTGATGGGAAGCCTAAGCATGATAAAACTTTAAAAAATAAAAAAATGTCAAATCTACTGGGCAGGCTTAATAACATATTATTGATACACAAAGTGCAGCTCTACTAATGCAAATCTACATGACTGTATCATTTCACCTATTGCTGATACTGTGAGGACAAAAAGTAAATTAAGGTAACTGTGATCGTCAAAATGGCAGAGACTGTAGTCTAGAAAATTACCCTCCAGCCATGATATATTAGGCCTAGCTTACACCACAACAGTGTTCTCTTGACTTGCAAATGTATTTCACGTACATCATGTACACTTTACTTATTGATCTTTCCACGATGGTGATTTAATTATGTTATAATTGATAAGGTCTGCTACATGTTGCAGAACATCAGACACACATGTACACACTATAACACAAGGAGTGGAAAAATAGTTTAAAAATCTGTTAGCTATATGGCAATCATTTACAGAAAACCATGTACCATAAAATAACCAAAAAAAAAGTGTCTTTACGATGACAAAAACATAATGATATACACATAAATTAATTAAGAGGGCATAAAGAATTTTAATACTCTGTACCAGAAATTAGCTGGGTGATGTCATCATTTCTGAAAACTCTGCCTGCAAAAATTCTTGCTGGACACATGGGACAGAAATGTGCACCAAATTAGCCATAACAATATCAGCAAATATCTTGTGAAAATAAATTTCTCTGCAGCCATGGTAGAGTGGTAATATGTTTATTTGTTATGCACATCTGCACTACATACAGTAGCGGTATGACTGACAAGGTTTGATCCTTATTTACACATTTAAAATAAAAGTTTAGAAGTTTTTAAAATGCAGTTCACATGACTTTGAAAAATAGGTCAAGGAGAATCAGCAATATCCACATCTCACAATATATATATAAACTGATAGAAAGATATGTCAAGGGCTTTGTGTACGAGAGTATGAGTACTAAAATTCATAGGAACTTAATTATTGAAAGCTGTAGAAGCAGATTGCATCCACTGATGAAAACATTGACAATCCCTCTGCAGTATATTCCCCTGTCTTTTCCTATGGGGAGTATAAATACTGCAGATATGGCAGCAGAAGTATAATTAATATTTGGTCTTTCCCAATTTGGTTCCAAACTGCCATTAATTCCCATTCATATCTGCTATCTGGTATCAGCAGATATTCCTTATCAAACAGGAAATGTGTTAAAGGAAAAGCTGAAAGTGAAAATTAAATTATTCCTTGTCTGTTATTCCTACCACATACAAAAATCAATGTCTGGTAAAGTGAACAGACCAAAATTATACAGCAGACATGGTGAAGTGGGGTGAAAGGTCATGGTGCCCTCAGCAAGTTAATTGGGATGATTACAAAATGTGCAATAATATGCCAACACATACAGACTTAGAGAAACAACCACTTATGAATGCCCCAGGGCACTTGTACAATGTGTAAAAGACTTACATATTCATTTTTTCCAAAGCACTGCAACTTAATGCCTTGTGTTCTAATTTAAATGGCTCAATCCCCACTCAAAGGAAACTTAAAATATTACAAAAAATAGACAATCAATATTTTCAATATATTTTATCCTAAATTGAAATGCCTCAGAATTTTTTCATTTTTTTGGGGGGAATATCTAGCTTTACAGCAGAACTGTTACCATGGGTTACTTTATATAATGATCAAATCATTTATAAAAGAATACACATAATGTGTGTTTGTGTGTGTGTGTGTGGGGGGGGGGGTGGCAGAAGAAACTTAAGAATCCTTTAATTGGCAGGTGGTTGAAAGACTTTATTTGCCAAAGTTAGTTGGACCAATCTCTCAATATTATTATCACTTTTTTCAACAATAATTAAGAAACAAGGTATGGGGGTGGAAGAAACTCTACACCAACATATTGCTTCAACTGAAATGTGGTTGAAAGACTTTATTTGCCATAGTTTTCTTAATATTCTGAGCTATTCATAGAAAGATAAATCATATGAGGGTGTAAGAAGCTTTAGACTTTATAGACAGGTGGCTCAGGCCTTCCCAACTACCAGACTCGGCACCTACGGGTCCAGTATAAACCGGTTTATCTGACCACACTACCCGTTTTCAAGGTGTGTGTCAGATCGCATAAAAGAGTATCAGCCACCACACCGATTTTACCTGGTGCGCGATGTGATGGCGATGATCCTAGTAATAGATAGACCCCGAGTCAGCGAGGGTTATGTGGCATGCACGAGTGCGAAGCACGAGTGGATGTCACATAACCCTCGCTGACGAGGGATCTATCTTATTTAGACCACGGGTCCATTAGCGGGTTATAACGCATTCATGCAAGACGTGCGGTTATGCGAGTTACACCACGTCTGAATCTTTTGTTCTTCACTTCCACCGTGGTCTAAAGCGGGGTTGGAAAGTAGTGCATCTCATCTACATTCATGCGCTGCTGCAATTTTCCCTGTTTATGCTAAAAATCTGACAATACCGCAATTTTTAACATAAAATTTAGGTTCGAACATAGCCAATGATCTGTCGGGGGTTAAATATTTTCTGGACGAGATTCAGTGAGTCGTCTGTCGCCATGTTGTCACTCGGAACTACACCAATGTCTCCGCACTCGACAATAGTATGGAGCTTGCGGAATGAGCCGAGGATTGCCGATTTCCATGTTGTTGTATTCATACGACTCCTACTTGACGAAAACGAGGCGCGATACCCGGATGACAGGTAGGCTTACAAAATTTGTGATGGGGTATGATACTCTTTTATGCGATCTGACACACACCTTGAAAACGGGTAGTGTGGTCAGATAAACCGGTTTATACTGGACCCGTAGGTGCTGAGTCTGGTAGTTGGGAAGGCCTGTGGCTGTACCACTGTATCTACTAGACATCACTGCCACTGGTCTCAGAATCTGCCCCCAAAGGCAGAATCAGAGAAAAAAATCTGAATATCAGCTTAGGAAAGAGTTGGCATAAGGCTTTATATGACTCTGGGCCAAAATACAACTTGAAGATCTTGACTACAAAATATATTACACAGTGTACATGATCTCAGATTTAGGACAAATTGGACTTATTTTTCTCATGATACCTGCAGTTGCATTTATTTTCTCACTGAAAGTGAGTCCTGATATAAATATATCTTTGTTAAGGAAATGGAACTTGCTTATTTTCAGTTATCAAAAATATTTGTCTAGAACAGACTTAATGTCAAATTAAAGATTTAAAGACATCGTGCCAATGCATTTTTATGCAGTTGCCATGGCTTTACATTATACAAGGTGAAAAAAAAGCAGGTTGGGTTTGATGTTTTCCATGCAGAACTAAATGGTGCTCAATCTTTGAAATAAAAGGAAATTTCAAATGGCTGACAGGATATGCAATCACATGGACAGATTTAACTCAATACATCAATCCAAAATGTACCTGGGAACTACCCAGGCTCAATCTTATAAATAACTTGGCAGTAATGCTGGCAAATGTACAGAATCAAAAAGATGAGAGGACAGAGAAGCATATCGTGAGCATATTGCAATACACTAATTTCTTCCAAGATTTATACTGAAGTCATCAAACTGCACAAAGAAAAGATTAGTTTCAGAAGTATTTAAGTTTAAAGGAGCATAGCAATAAGTGTGAAGTGTTATTGAAAAATAAACACCACTTTCATCGTTGTAGATTTCTGAATATACGAGTTACCTTAATATCAAATGCCAAAGAAGACTTTCTGTCATTACTTAAAAAAAAAAAAAAAAAAAAAAAATCAAAAACATAATGGCATTGGCACAATGGTGAATTTTCCACCCATATTAATGCCAAGTTCCATGCCTGCAATCCATGAACATAGAAATTATTTGCTCCCTTTGAAGTTTTTCTCTTGGTTTGGGGTACCATACCGCTTTGACAACTTTGGGCAACTACTGTATAAGTGAATCTCATTTAGTTTTAGAGATAAAATCAGACCTTTAGAAAAAGAACAATTCCCTGTAAAAAAAAACTTGGTCAAAGGCTGAATTAGGGGTGACATTTTGGATTTGACATATGTTAATTAAATTTCCATTCAACTTCATTAGTAACAATGTGATCAGCTCTTACTTTAATCAAGTAAATGTTGGCATGCATGATCCCCCCAAAAAATACCTGTTTATATTCACAGTGGCATAGGAAACAAGTACGTGGCTCTATCCAGACAACTGCTTGAATATATCAGGGATGAATTCACATTTAGACAATACCATCTGAATTTTTAAAATAAGTTTGGACAGGCATTTTATATCAGAGTAATAAAAGCTTCCTGGCAATAAGGTCTCCAAAATGGAAATGGTTTGTTCTGAGAAAACTCCCTAGAGTACCTGCTATATTATTAATTGCATATATCAAAATAAATTATAATATGATGAAAATGCAAACCCACTGACTATATGTTGGCTGCCTTACTTCATTATCTCCACACTTAGTATAGCTCATAACATGCACTTTGTTGCATTGCTATTCAGCTCATATAAAGAGTGTATGATACTCAACATTGGTGTTCTGAGATTTAGAATAAAGAAAAAAATATTATAGGTAACAAATTGTAGGTTTCAAAAGTATTCCCCACCTGAAATATTATATTTGCCTTTTCCTAGTTTTCCTAGTTTTCATGCTGTTTTTTACCCCTGCCAAGGAGGTGATGTTTTTGGTTCCGTTAGTTTGTCTGTCTGTCTGTCTGTTAGCAACATTACAGAAAAAGTTATGGACCGATTTTGATGACATTTTCTGGAACTGTCAGAAGTAGGCCGAGGAACAGATGATAAGTTTTTGGTGGTGATCAGGATCATTAATTAATCAATAATCAATAATCAAAAATCAAAAAACTAAATCATTATAGAATGAAAATGTAGTGGTGAAACTGAATTGGGTGGAGACTTTGCTGCCTTGGCAGAGGTCTGCGCTCTCAGAGTGCTTTTCTAGTTGATAAGGCAATGATTTCATGGCAAGGCACATATTTTTTCCATTGATAATGTTCACAAGAACCAACCTTCACCATCATCATGAAAAATTCAATGACATTTTTAAGTTGTTTGGGTTACATAAATGTCCTTCTTTTACAAGATCTTTTATTTTGAGTTATTCTATGATGCAAAAGGAAGAAACATGAAAAAACAAATGAAGCCAATTCCTTTTCAGGGGGAAATCTCACAGTATCTCCATATCACTTTGAAACAAACAAGGCTTCTAACCTATATTTGTCTCATTGCCTTACCATGTGATAAGGCTGTGTTTGATGCAAATTAAAAAGAACTACTTCAACTTATGTACACGTATTCCAATTTACCACAAACAGTGGGTGATCAGTCAATTAACCTATCAGATTGATCAATTTTATATAGTCTCTTGTGATTCCATACAAAATCCACCAACACAGAATGTCAAGAAGTCTGCGTCATGTGAAAAGAATAAAATTGCAGAATTGGATATGCTAGTGAGTTGATGCAGCATGGGATTCAACCATTGAATCAGTACAAACTATATAAGATCTAATAAACGGATCTTAGGTACAAACTGGTAACTGGATCTGACCATCTTAATGGCTTACCTGTTGGGATCTTTTTGACTTCTGACAAAGCAAATGCATTCCCTCTTGAAAAACACCTTCTCAATCCACGACTTCTGAGCCTAGAAAACAAGAAAGTACAGAGCATAAAAAAACATGATAGGAATATTTCAGAACNGTTCGACACAATGTAAAAAAGCATTACAGGTAGTTTTAACACCCCATTGCTCAATTCTGGCTGCTTACTAATTCTTATTCAACTGCTTCTTGGCATCACCTTACCTATTGGAGGAGATAGCCCTCCTAAGAGGTACAACAAACACATCCTTGATGGTCTCCAGTGTTCTTTTGTAATCCACTTCTGATGCTAATATCTCACGGGCTATCACACTTCTCTTCTCTGGGTGATCTGAGAACTGCTTGGTGTTCTAAATATATATATACATATATATATATTTAATCCATGCATGTTATTTTGAAATACAGTGTTTTATATCTCAGTTCCAAGAAATATATTGATATTATTCTCTAATCTGGTTAACAAAATCAGTGTAATGTAGCATGCAATGAGTTAAATGAAATAAAAAATCTGAATTTAGTTAAGGTAATGTCCTTATGTACTTATGTACTTTTTTAAGATAAAATCAATTAGCTTTGCTAGATCGCCAACATTAGCTGCTGATGCAATGCACAACAAAAAGTTGTTAATGTGTGTTGTTGTGCAGTGTAGCATAAGGCAACTTCCTTAAATAAAGATGTACCTGAAGTTAAATTAAAACATTTTAATTCATATGGATATGGATGAAAAAAGTATAATTATACAACATTTTAACAAAAATAAATGTGTTAATTCATTTAAAAATAAGTTTTTGTTTATCACTCACCAGTCTCCTGGTTGCTGATCCCAGTGGTGATCTTAAATTTTGACAGGAAATATATCCACCAGTAGGTATTAAACGGACACTGGACTTTGCCTTTTCCTTCTGCTTTTTAGCTGCATTTCCTTTAATGTCCTTCTTGCCTTTGGCTTTGCTCTTTGATTTTTTTGAAGATTTTTTTGCTGATGATTCAGCAGAAGATTCTGATGATGAAGATGATGATGACGAAGATGATGATGATGATGATGATGATGAAGAAGAAGACGATCCTTCATCACTTCCTTTTTTCTTTTTCTTATCCTTCTTCTTTCCCTTACTTTTATCTTTGTCCTTCTTCTTTTTGTCTTTCTTTTCATCTTTTTCTTCTGCATCATTTTTATCTCCATCTGCTTTTTTGTCCTTCTTCTTCTTTTTGTCTTTCTTTTTGTCTTTTTTCTTTTCTTTTTCCTCCTCTTTATCTTCTTCACCTTTAACTTCATCATCTTCCTCACTTTTTGCCTCCTCAATTTCTTCATCTATTTCTTCACTTTCTTCGTCATCATCTTTATCCTTTTCTTTCCCTTTAACTTTTCTTTGGGCCTCCTCATTTTCACTTTTTTCCTCTTCATTCTCTTCATCTTTCTCTTCATGTTTGTCTGTCTCTTTGTCTTTTTTCTTTTCATCTTTTTCTTTGTGTTTGTCTTTATTTTTGTCTTTTTTCTTTTCATCTTTCTCTTTGTTTTTGTCTTTCTTTTTATCCTTTTTCTTTTTATCCTCGTTCTTATTTTTCTTCTTTTCTTTTTTGGCATCCACAGTATGCTCCTCCACTTCACCATGATCTCCTGCTCCCAAAAGAAATGCCTTTTGTTTGGCTGCTTCAGTTTCCTCCTCCTCTTCTTCTTCCTCCTCTTCTTCACTTTCCTCCTCCTCTGCCTGCAGTTTAGCTGTCAGGCCCCCAGCACCAGCCTATTACAAATACAACATAAAACATGCTTTGTAAAAAAAAGACACAAAACAACAAGTATCTAAAAAGAAAGTAGAAAACTCTAAGACAAAAACATGCTCATATGTTGTAACTTTGAATAATACATCTCTACATACAGCACGAATATCTCTTCTGCTGCCTACCTTGTGTGCAAAATTCCCATCAGCTGCTTGTTGTTGTTCTGGAAGCAGGACTTCATATCCAGATAGCCCAAGAAGATACTGTCCAAGGTACTGCAGAGGCTTCACCTGTAAAAAATAGGGCATTTCATCTCATATTGTACATGTGCATATCTTCCACTGTCTTTTTTTTTTACTTTATCATCAGGTAAATTTTGAAAAACAAACTTATTAACAAACTTAAAACAAAATAATAATAAAAATATTTTTACACTGTTTAGGCATGGAAGATGCCCTGAACTGCATAGCTAGAATTTAGGTACTGGGTCCAGGTACAGATGTCAAAATTTTTTTGGAAATCATTGAGTTGGAGGAAAAACAATTGTGGCAGCTTCAAAGAGCCTTAAACCCTCACATCTTCTGCTATATTGACAGTAATTCATTTGAAAAAATGTGTAAAACAATTCAGAGACCCAGGTGAAAGACAGAATTGACAGCTAATTTTGACAGTTCCACTGCTATGGTCCACTATGGCCCCATTCACCAAGCAAGGTTTACAATGCAAGATTTTGCACCTAAATGGTGGCTCGAGCTTCTAAATAAAGTTCACAGTTCAAAGTTCAGACTCCTACAAATGCTGCTTTACATGTTTTACATAGCTTATTTCTAATAATATTCAGGATATTTTAATGCTATAGGAAATAAACAATAATATGCACAATGACATTTTATCACATTCTTTGTATAAGAGAGAAATACACATTTTCTAGGTTTAAACTTACATTTTTCTGCTGGCCTAATGAGACCAGTCCCTCAACCAGAGCCTCTGTGACCACACTGATGCCTTGGATGTCTGCCTGGCCCAGTGCATCAAACACAACCTGGCCTGAAGTAATCAAATATGACATCATTATACAGTGCAGCATAATGGAGTCTGGGGTAACTGTCCATGATATCAAGAGGAAGAGAAAAAAAACAACAAAAAACTCTGGATTCTCGACTTGGAAACAATGTTGTTACATGTACTTGGGAAAGAGAGAACAAACCTGAATTTTGGTAAATGACATAAGACCTAAGGGTGTAAGTGTACATACGTGCCCATGCATGTGCATCGGTGCAGTGATATAAATGTGCATACATCACTCACAAAAAGGTGATGGAAAAGTGACAAGCTTGAACATATACATTAATGTCTGTCTGAGTAGATCATAAAAAGTTAATTAAAAATACTACTGGTATGTCTTTAAAATGAAAAAAAAATTAATGAAATGAAAATACATGTAATGAACAGTGACAGCCAAAAATAATCATTTCAATCACCACATGTTCCCCTCCTACCTGTGACCTGTGCCACCAGGTCCCTGTGTTGCTCCTCAAAGTACTGCCCCAGTAGTCTGCTGGTCCTGCCCAGGGCCTCCTGGACGGTGTCTGCAGTATTAGCCCACACATTTAGCTTACTACTGGCAAAGTACAGAGACGGTGGGTGATGATCCTCTGGGCAGAATATCCACTCACTGTTTACTAGAAGTTAAGGCAAATCTTAAAGACGCCCTCTCATATTTCAGATTTCATATTTCTGCCCTAGCGATTTTGATTAAAATTGTAAGACAAAATCTTCTTACCATATGAGTAATAAATATGAAAAAAAACTTGGGGGTCCCCACGCTCATTTTCGAGAGGTGGTGTCCCGAAAAACGCTACGTTTATTACATTGCGTTATATGGGGATTTTGCCAAAATGCCCTTAATTTTGCTGAAAAATGCAAAAATAAAAAATTCTGCCCTAGCGATTTTAATTTTATGTGGATATGTTATAGATCTTGGTAGACCTCAAAGAAATTTACAAAAAAATATGTACCACACCACGCTTGTTTTTGAGCCAGGGCTGCTTGAGCATCGATTTTTTATCAAATTTACATAGGAATCAATGGGAATTTACTAGCAAATTAAGATAAATATATTTGTATCATTAGGTTTTTAACTCATACACTTACTATGTTTCCATGAAAATTATATTTATACTTCTCTGCATCAGTTAACCAAATTTCATAAAATTTGCATATCCCATTCATAATAAATAGATAATCAAATGTTGAAAGTATCAGTTGGATTTCAGTATGCCTCATGGAAAGCCGCCATATTGGATTTTTCATAGGCTAGGCAGATTGACCAAAAGCATATTATATCAATCTCATGTGACTTATTTTCTTATTCCTTTTTATTTTTATTTCTTTTGTTTCTTTATTTTTCTTACTCAGCACTAAAATATGCACTTTATGGTGAGATAACTGGATAAATTGTTTCCTTTGTATATTAACNAAAAAAGTATTACATGTATCTGCATAAAAACCCTTGGTCCTCTGTTGTGTGTTTTATGGTTTTGTCCATTTGCACTTTAACAAAACCATTACAAGAATGATGTCGCAGCACGCCAGGCGGGTGCACACCTGTTGCATCTTTCCTGGAGAGCTGAAAATCGCACTGTTTGCAGGTCATATTGTTCAATAACATACTTAAATCAACAACAAAACGCCATGCGTCTAATTATTTTAACTTATTGTGAAAGAAGATAATTGTTTTCAGCATACAAATCACGGTAACTTGGCCCTGGGTGATCGGAAACCAATGCTGAAGAAGACAATGTCTTGTTGCACACATCGTAACCATGTGACAAATCACCACAATACACTTTGTGGTCAAAATGCAAACCATTGTGATTACTTTCCGTGAGATAAGATCTTGTCACTGCTATACAAGCCTTACTAAAACGCTCTTTTCCATCCCGTCTTCACGTAATTTCTTACATTGCGGCATTTGTAAACAAAGTCGCAAGTGGGTACTTTACGTCGTAAAAGACCAAGCGTTCACAGATACGCAACGCATTGTTGACACATTCGTAGCGCTTCGACCAAAGTAACATCAAAGATTTCATACTGATTTCTTAAAAGGGTGAATTACGTATTTTATTGCATGTTATATGTTTATCATTAGCCGCTATCGCAAAAAACTACTCATGCGCAAAATCTGCACAGATCGCAAAAAAAGCTAATATGAGAGGACGTCCTTAAGCAATCTTTCTCAGAGGTGTATTGTCATAACAAAATTACCTTATGAGTATACAGTATATTACATATTGAAACAACTNTTCTTAAAAGGGTGAATTACGTATTTTATTGCATGTTATATGTTTATCATTAGCCGCTATCGCAAAAAACTACTCATGCGCGAAATCTGCGCAGATCGCAAAAAAAGCTAATATGAGAGAACTACCTTAAAAGCACTCTGCTCAAGAATAACCCTCATTTACATCAATTTTCAATGGACCTTTAAAAACAAGATTGCTTAAAATTGGGTTTGAAGATGTTATCAGAAATATTTGGCATCCGGTAGTTCTCCACACTTTTATCAATAACTTCTGTGGCACCAATTTTTGGGATTTTACTGCAACAGTAACTGAATTTTCCACTGAGGGGATTGCTATCTACGGCCAATTAGAATTATTGAGGAGTGGTTGAAAAACATTTCAGGTACTTGGTAAAAATGACACTTCTGAATGATGACAGCTCACCTGGCATCAAAATATTGATCCGCATAGTCATTTAAGATATATGCAAAAATGATAAACTGATACATAAATATGAAAATGACAGAAAAAACTAAAATTTGGTCACATAATGGCATATTTCAGAGTACATAACCTTAAAACTTCAGACAAAAATGTGGAAGCATTACAATATTTACATGTGAAACTGACAACAGCATCTGAAATATCCAACTCCCAGAAACACATCAAATCAATGACCCAGATAGAGCCTACCTCTACGTATATCATTGAGCAAACCACCTGCACAGCAACAAAACTAGTAGCCATCACATAAAAGCATGTACTACATGTATATACACAGTCAAGGGAAGATGGGGTAGGGAGGTATGCACTTCACTATGTACATACTTCATATTCCAAGGATGGACGGCTCCCCTGAAAAGACTGTAATTTTCACACAAGTCATGTATTATTACATATACAATGTATACAAAAACATAGAGAAAATACAGTGAATCATTACAAAAGATACAGTTAGCTCAATACTTGACATTCTCACATTACCGGGGGCAGTTTAAAAGTACAAAGCAGTATGGTGCTGACACATAATAAGATTTCAAAAGCAAGCAACTCACCTCACTATCCAACACTCATACAAAATTAGATTAGAGAAAAAGTGTAGATAGTTACATTATTAATGCAGGCAAAGGTTTAAAGGTACGCAACTGGTGTTTGACCTTTATAGAACGAAACATTTATTTTACCGGAAATTAATTTTTTTTTTTCTCTCAACCACTGAAGTACACCTTAGTCAAAACCATTGACAAAATTCAAATCCTTCATCCAATTTGTCTAGAGAAAGAGGTTTGAGAATTTTACTTTTAACTGAAAAAGAGAAATTAAACTCTCAAAAGTGGGTCATAATTTTTTCAACAATTTTGGACTTAATCATATATATGTCATTTACCTTGATGATAAAGGAGAAAATGTTAAATAGGTTGAGCACACTGTATGCTTTGAAGGCACTGTTGGTGGACGTGGTGAGTCTATCATAACAAGTATAAATGATATTTAACAGGATATAATGATAAATTTTCACTGATAGAGAAATGGACTTTCCAACATTAATATACACTAAAATAGCATTATAACAACACAAAACAAACGTGAAACTGATCATATTTCGTGGGCAATTCCTTTTTATTTATATCCCAGGCAATCCACTAAATAAAATATATCTCATCAAAAAGCTCTTTTTTCTTCATTTATCAATAGATATATCCTGAAGTGGTTCAGAGATGATCCATGACATGGAAATCGAAGAAGATATATCAAACCTTATTTCTTCTCATCAAGGGAAGAATCAAAATGGATTGGTACGGATATAAATAAAAAATTAAAGACACATACGTGCAGGACAATATCTCAATTACGACCCAAAGTAAATACATAAGGAGTCACTTAGTGTCATGGGAACGATGCAATACTCAATATTAATTTGCATCCCGCAATTTTCATTTCCATCAATTTAGCTACAATTAACTTGCCACCACTTTGACCTTGCACAGTTTTATTCCTCAGCAACCTATTAGAGAGACAAGGTGCATTCCAATGTACTTTGTAAAAAAAAATCAATTAACACTAGAAAAGATGGCAAACTGTTATTATTACTATTGTTACTCAGTGATGAAGTCCAGGACTTCTGGATTGTGTCATCTAGTTCTACTCTGACAACCGCCATGCATCTTCCAGGAATAGGAAAAGCAAAAATATTGAACAATAAGAATCCCCATCAGATTTGCATGAGACAAGCTTGGCCAACATTCCCTTTCCTTTCAGCCACAGGTACCGTTATGCACACAGCAAACCATGTTATCATTAATAAAATTGTACATTTATAGTCCTTATTTAAAATCATAAAATAAAATATATATTAAACCATGCTTCTCTGTATGCAGAGATGTAGAAGTGACCCCACATGCCATGGCACACCAAGTAATCATCCAGGGGGCATGAAAAAATGCCCTTTTGACATATATAAAATTTTCTTTGAGAATAATTCTAACCATCATCTCCAAAATGTAAAAAATTCTACTAAAGTGTGCATGCATGCGTGAGTGCATACATATGTGCACCTACTGTACAGAATACATATATGTAGAAGTGCGCATACATGCAGGGCACACCAAGTCATCCAGGGGGCTTGAATAAAAATGTTCTTTTAAGAATAATTTTATCATCATATGTATATATACAAAGTACAGGAATTCTACTTAAGTCTACTGTACATGCATCTTTGTGTGTGTGTATGTATGTATGTGTTTGTGTGCATGCTTGCTTGCGTGCGTGAGTGCATGCGCCTACAGTATAACACAGGAGATATTCTATCTAGCTCTCAAGTCCTCTGTAAATGCATGACTGATATTAGGACTCCACACAGCACAGATAATGACATCTCACTTCCTAAGACATCAACAATCTTAAAATAGAATATACCCACTTCTTTGGTTCTTCCAGAAGCAGAGGATAGGTCCAAGGAGCTCATGGAGTCCAGTGATCTGGACAGTCTGGGCATGGTCAGCAGGCATCAATTCCCTCCCACACCTGAATTGAAAATGACATGATTCATTACTTTAGGCACGATTTTCACTTTCTCTTTTGTACTCAACAGGCTTTATCAATTTATATTGATTTATTATTAAGATAGAAGCACATTGATAAATGAAAATGTGCACTGAAGTGTGCTTTTGATAAACATATAACCCTTTGAAAAAACTATTTGTATTGTCTTTATAGTTAATACAAGGTACTTAAGAAAAACAGTCATTACATCTTATATGTAAAAAAATTACACTTACTTAAGATTTTAGAATCTCTCAGTCTAAAATCAGATATGTAACACTGCCTTTACAATATTTTTTCATGTAACTTTTCACAAGTTACTGACTCACTAGTCTCATAGTTTCAAAATTTCCAAACATAAAGAAATATAATAAAATGTACCCATACCAATTTTGCTGGAAGCACTTCAATGAACTTGTTCTATTTTGTGTAATACATAAATCACTTCCCAACTAATATGTGACTTCAGTAATATTCAAGTAATATATGTACCTCTGTCTGTAAATCAATTATATGTCTAAACTGTGTCTGACCTCTGGCTACTTAGAAATCAGGAAATGTCCAGTCTGGTATAATACAATAGGGTCCACCCAGTGATACAATATATAAAACTGCCCACTGCCCAGCAAGTGAACAAAGGATTATTTTAGGAGCTTACACTCCTAAGGTTTAGTCATTCCCAATGCATGCACAGGCATGACTTTAAATTCAACTTGTACATGTAAAGTGATTCTTTTTCTCCTCCATGCTCTAATTCAAATAAAACCACCAGAAACATGCCAATGCTTTCAAGACTACCTATATAAGGTTCACTTATTTAAATGACAACAAATAGAGATAATGAAACATTTTATGTCCCATGGGTTAAAATTGAATTTTTTTTTTAAATGTATACTGTCTTACTCACTTACAAAAGCAGTATCCTATAGCTAGCTTTTCTAAGCAAGTCGACTTCAGCATCTAATCAAGTGGAAGAACATCATTCCAGAATATGGATTTTCAGTATTATGCATTAAATTCTGCCTCAGAAACTGGATTTCAATAAGAGGTTATCAAGGAGAACTTTCCAAATGTACACTAGCATGATATGTAGCTAATAAAAACATACTTATTGTTTTTAACAATTGGCCTGTACATGTTAACCAGTTATATTCATAACACTGTCAATCAGACATTTAATTACTAGTAATAATAAACTGCACGATGATTTCTAAATGACTTCTAATGGTGAATTAGTGCAAAGCTAATATTTAAATTTCAAGCGTATCCAACTCGAAATAAATCTGTTATATTGGCTATAACTGCAAGGTCAAACATGAGCTGGATATAGTAAAACTGGGTAATTAAAATATAAGGGCCTTCGAAACTTAAGAATTTTATATACATGTATCTCATCCCATAATGAGGTAATTTAAATACAGCAAAAAGTTAATTGTTTCTTAAGAGACTATGTATGTTTTTTTTTTTATCCCAGAGACATAACACCACTGAAAAATCTTCAAAACCATCAAAAGGAAATGTTTTCTACAAGTGTCAATAATACTTTTTTATATTTTCAAGATCCTCCCACTTCTCAATCTTCAATCTACAGTTGGGTTTATTATCCAGGCTAAAAATAAAGCCATATTAGCAGATTAATTATACTTAAATACATGTAAATGCTATGAACCAATTCCACCTGACTCTAGATAACTAAACCAACTGAAGATGAACACGAGTTTCATTATGACACTTTGGGCTTCATTAAAGTAATCCAATAATGCAGTAAGCACTCCAATTTGCAGATCTGCACCAGACCAGCTATTGTATCTTTTGGTTAATTTAACTGTTCCAATCGTAAGGACTTCAAGATATTTTCTTGGTAGACATCTGGCAATTTTTAAAAGAGGTGAACATATGAGCACAAGTAATTGCAGGAAATTTGTCATCAATAGCTAAAATTATGAGTAGACTTTATGTGAAAATGTATATTTGCCATATCAGAGACAACTCTAGCATTTTATATAATAACTAATAGCTTGGTATGTGCTGTAAATAAAAATAATTCCTAATTATAGTCTGATATCCTGTATATGGTACTGAAGAACCCTCAATTGCCTCAGTTATCACGACCTGCATGCTAATATAATTATTCAAGCACAATTATATCAAGTTCACCAGTTTGCACTTACAAAACGAAGTCATTGTACATACCAAATTGTAATTTGCAATTGCAACTGCCTTATCCCATTTGATCTGAAATGTATAGAAGTACACACCAAAATTGTTTATTTACAAAAAAAAAAAAAAAAAATCGATTTAAATAATTATTTAAAAATTCATTTTCTTTCAAAGATATGTTACTTCTCCTTTTAGGGAGTGGAATATGTATTCATGTCCACACAAAGCATTTTTACAAAAAATTAAAATGCTAAAAGTTTGTGCTACCATTAAAAAAGCCACAATATAAAGGTATTTCTTTACATTAAGATTCACTCACCTTTGGTATTCTGCTGTAGATTAAACAGTTCTTTAACACACATATTCTGTTACTTCGTGCCTCCTTAATTAAAAAAAATACACATATTTCAAAACAAGCAGACTTTTGAACTGATTTTTATACTTTTTAAAATTACATCTGATATATCTGGAATAATAGTAGAACATGACATCATGTTAAGCCAATATCATCCATTTCTAAATGCTTATGATGCTTACAATTATGATATATGCAGAACTAGTGTCCGGTATATAATTAAATGTGCAATAAAAACATTATATGGGGTGGTCAAAGAAAATCCTACTTAATTCTAAGTTGATGGAGAGCATCAGAATGGCAAGGCTGGCACAATATATTGTACCACCAGCCACATTAAGGTCAATCAAGTTAAATGGTATGTTATGGGTATATCTGTTTTAGTTGTGGAGAAAAAGGGACTGGTAAATATGATATGTGCATTTCATGGCAAAAAGTGTCAAATGTCAAATTCAAAGTCGCATTAAGATACCCAATGTACAATTTCCTATTCAAGTTCAAAAGTAACTATGAGTGTATCTCTGTCAGTTTTGGAGATTTAAAGGCCAAAAAAAAAAAAAAAAAACTGCACTTCATGATGAGAAGTACTTAGTAGTTCAAATTTCAAATTCATGGTTACATTAATTACGACTGCCAATACTAGTATGTGATTCTCAATTCAATTTCAATAGTAACTATGGAACCATTCCCAGAACCTATCGTACTAACTATGGATGGATCTATCCATCCATAGTTAGAACCTATCGTACTAACTATGGATGGATCTATCTCAGAGGGGATTCTCACTTAATTGCAATCAACTTAAGCAGCTTAGATGTCTGTCACGCCTACTGAAGCTGCTAGGGAGTAATTAATTATCACTTTGCAGCTTCAGTAGGCATGCCAGACATCGTAGCTGCTTAAGCTGAAAACAATTTAGCAGGAAACCCCTCAGAGATGGATCGAAGCTATTAGATCAATCTAGGTATGGGAACCCAGTCTTTGAGTTTATCTCTGCAAGTTTTGAATATATATATATATATGAAAATTTTGCAAAGCTCAGATCTTGGTGAAAAGTACATATTGGTCAAATGTCAAATTCAAGGTCACATTAAAATTGACATAATTTATATGATTTGCTATTCAAGTTCAATAGTAACTATGGGTGTATATCTGCCAGTTTTAGACACATATGGGCAGGAAATTTTGTAAAGTTTAGTCCATTGTGAAAAGTAATTGAGTCAAGAATTTGCTTCCAGCTGAGACTAGATTTGGTAAGTTCCATCCAAATCTGATATGTTACATGCAATAATGTAGACCCTATAGGCCTACACAATGCCACAGTGAAGACAGTGAATGCAATTTAATCGCTCAACCACTAGTACAGTACAAAAGAGATAGAAGAAAGAATAACTTATATGAGTGAAGGGGGTACTGTAATCATGTGTATGTGTCAGCTGATGTGTACTAGCAGATCTGACAAAAACCAGTCTGAGTTACAGAAGGATTATTTTTAGTCACCCAAGATAACCAAGCCTGTCAGAGAATGACGTCAATTTCAATGGGTCAGAAGCAACTGTGCTAAAAAATATGAAAAGTTTTACAATTTGGAATGCAGTCTATTTCCAATTTAATTTTTAGTTTGTAAGATTGCACGATATTTCAAAGTGAGAATCTAACAAGTGTGGTGAGGGTACATGTACACCCTATGTGCAAAATCAACAATTGCCTGTGTTACCAAGTTACTGTTTCAGCATATGCACTACTGCCGGTATGCAATGTCTCTTGCATTCCTACTCATGTTTTTTTATATTAACTGAGCTTGGTAAACTATTGAACCCAATATTCTGAAAGAAATTGCAATTACAAAAAAGGTAAATAACCGTGGTAAAAGCTGATCATCATAGACTTTCCAATGGGAGCGAGTGTCGTTTCGACTCAAGAAACTGAACATGCATCGGGGGCATGAATGGTAGATTGTCACTGGCTGGATATATTTTCAATTAAAAAAACACTGCAAATGGGTGTTGAAAATGAAATTTGTTTTTTACCTTCTTAACAACTCCCCAAGTTTCAACATCACTGTTCAGTGAAAAATATTCATCTGGTCATATCTTGTATGCGTTTCACGGTCCACCATGTTGGATTCTCGATTGCGGTAGAGAAGACTGTTAACTCGGTCAAATCAGGTCAAATCAGGTCAAATCGCGAAGACCCAGATATGGGACATCCTGAACTTAGAGCGATTGGCAGTATCAATTTTGCAGTATTTCCCCCATAACTCTTTGATTTTCAATTTTTTTTTTCAAATTAATTTCTTTGGTGACTTTGACCAATGTCTCCGCTACCCAATTAGGCCTAGATTCACTGGCCTACATGTAGATCTAAATTAGTTAGAAAAGGGAATTATACACCCCATTTCCATAGATTTTTAGATCGACCTATCTCTGTGGGGCGTCTCACTAGATTACTGTCACCTTGGCCGGCTACTAAAAGCTGAAAGGGGATAATTTACTACGGTGCCCGCTCGGCTGACTGCAATTTAGCGTGCACCCCCAGGGAGTTAGGTCGATCTAAATCTTAATCTTTAGATCGATCCAAATCTCTGGGAAAACACCTATAGTCTTTATGCCTTCCAAATATTATGAGAACCGAGGTTATCACTGTGGTGAATTAAAAATTAGTAAGGAAACTTCAAACTAATTTTTAATTGCAGATGTAGGGGCCTATTGATCCAAGTCACTACAGAGGTCGTAACTTAATTTTGATTAGCATTGAAAATTGGAGAGTTTATACATGTATATAGGTAAAGTACCGAGCGATACATCAATTAACACAAGGCGAAAACGTCAACTGGCAAAATCATCTATCCTTAAAGTTAAGAATTAAACTAAGATTTAAAGTGGGAATTAAAAATAAACAAGTAAGAATGGTTAAGTAGACAAATAAAAGGTAACGTAAAAGCTAGATTAAATAATATAATAAGAATAATAATTTTTCAACGGCCCTTACCTACGACAAGAAGTTTTTTTTTTGTTCCGTTAGTTACTTAGACTCTGGAGATAAACCGACAAGTGATCAAGAGGACTTGGGGAAAATGGCGACAAGATCGAGTTTGAGAATCTTTATTACAACAGCAATTTTAGCTCTAAGAATTCAAAATGATATAGCTCTTTCAATGAGGGTCCCATAATGGGGGGGGGGGGGTCGCAGTTCACGGAAAATAAAATCATCAATTCACGAATCACAGTGAACATGGACATATTTAGGTCCAAGCAGTGAATAAAGTTTGATTCATATCTCACTGATTATGAGGGTCGAAAATCATGAAAATCGCGAATCACCTGGTATAATGACTTCGTTTCAGATAAAAAGCCGCAGTCACTAGTCTCGGAATGGGATCACGCTAAATTAGGAACGTTTCACGCACCTCGGGGAAAAAAGTGGCTTTCACAGGTAACAAAAATGCACAACGGAACCCTCGGATTCGGGTGCTTCAAGGATCACGCTAAACACCCAAACTAAATATAGAGGTGGATTTCACATTCTGAAATATCAAAATAATAAAATTAAGTGCATTGGAAGTTGTATTCAATTTTTTTAAACATATATGTATACTAAAGAAAAAATCCACGGCTCTCTCAATTTTACATAGATCTACTTTTAATTTTTACCATTGCTATAGGCCTACATTATGTCAGGAGCCAAATGGTAGCGTATGTCCCGGTAATATATGTTATAATTTTAATTTTTATGTTGCATTCCGATATATTTTGTAGGGATTCAATCATGCTAAGTTATATATGACGCATGGATGCTTTTATAAATATTTTAAAACTGTAAATCAAGAGGCTTTGCGCCATGGTTAATACTACGTAACAAATGTTCCCCCGAAAATTTGTCAGAAAGTTTCACCTTGCCCAAGTAGGCTACTTGGTACAATAGTAAACAGGCTTTTCTGTTGCTGACTGAAAATATTTTTGATGCCATGATAGTTTGACATTTCTGATATAAAATTTGGACCACGAATGGAAAATAGTTTATTTAATGCTCATTTTACTGTCAGTGGGGTGTATCGCACCACCCCTCACCCCATTTATAACATTCAGTGACAAGCCTATAACCAAAATTATAATTATAATTATAATAGTAATTATTATTGTTAAGCTTTACTATATATGTTGTACTTATGATACCATTTTGAAGAATAATATCCCAAAATTTATTAAGGGTGTAAGTTTTCCCTCCGGAATGCGCACCCAGTCGCAAACAAAGGTGAGGTGAGGTGATTATTCTGCATATTGACCAAAAACTACATAGACTAGACGAAGAATTGGTTCCAAGAAGATACGAGCTGTCAATCTATTTTGAGAGGACAGCCTTTAATTATTAGTGCCTTGTTAAACGGAATTCTAAAGCATATATTTCAGCTTTAAATTCTATTCATATCTATTCAGTTAGTTTATGCTGCGCACGTCTAACATGATACTTGAAAAATTGGTTTTTACCTTTTTCCAATACCAGAATGTACGTGCATGTGTGAATCACGTGAAAAAAATTCCTTTTAAGGTAAAACAAATTGTGACGTCATTGACCCCTGCCGTCGTTGCGTAGTAACGTAAAATCTATCGCAGACACACTGCAGCGCAGGCGAAAAAAATGCAGAGATTTTTGTTTTACTAAAACAAAGCAAAAATGATAATTACGTCGCAAATGGCCTTTTTAGGCATGAAATACATCTACAACTTTATTTTTCGCAGAGAAACATTTGAACTAGAATACGAGGTGAGTTGCTGTTTTAAAAGGAGTAAAAAGGGAGAGTCACAAGCTCGGTTTGTATGAAACTTTGTAAAAATATTATGTTAGAGTTCTCTTTTTGCCAGCATTTTGCTGACATTAAACAAAATTATATTTGCATAATTGCAAAGTGGAACTGATTTACATGCAATGTGATATAGGCCTACACTTCAATCTTAAAGGTAATCAAAGAAAATAAAAAATAGTTTCGAATTTCAGAAGTATGGATAACGATTGAATATCTTTTAAAAAAATCCAGGTCGAAGCTCTTTTCCAACAGGATGACACGATGCTTCCGATCTTAGGACGCGGAGGATTCGGCACAGTGTTCAAGGTATTGTGAGGTTAACAAAAGTTATGTTTGGGTAATGGCAGGAGCGACAACAGTAGAATAATATTACTTGGAGTAATGGCCATAGTTATTGTAGAAACAGTTATGTTCATAGTAACAGCACAAGGAACTTTGGGCACACAATGTTTCCAGAATTATAACACTTTCGCTTAATTGCGAAGGAATACCATATCTAAAAACCATCTCCAGAATCAAGACCAATGAACCCCTTCTTTAGTTTTAAGCTATTCTTTGAGTCACTCTCGTGATGGAGGCTGATATACATATATATATCAACGACAAGAATAAAAATTAAGAGATCGAAAAATTAGTTTATAGACCGAAATCATATAATTTCGTTATTTAAGGTACACTGTATACCTTGCCGATAAATGGAATAAAAATTATTTTACTATATCAGATACTAAAGCACAAAGCAGCGTTCAAGCAAGTATATCCCACTTAACATTCCAAATATTCTTTATTTAGTTAAGAAACAACCTGGCTATGAAGGTGCCAAAATGCATGGAATACAGCTACCATATTCGAGAAGAAGTGATCGTTATGAAGCTGGCGCACAGCGACTTTATTTTGGGGTATTTGAACTGTTGTATATATTTGTAACCCATTTAAAAATTTTAATTCATTTACACGGTAGTAACCTTTGTTAAATATATGTTATATTTCAAAATGTTGATACATATCTTCAGATGTCTTAAGATGATAAACAGTTCATGCGAGGTTCTAAAATCATATAACAAAAAAATAAGAGTGTCAGTTGAGACAGAGACTCAGCTGGCGTAAAAGAAATTGAAGAAAGATGTTTAAATTTGTGAAAACATTTGGTTCCAGGCTTGTCCATTCTTTTGATGTCAGGCCAGAGCTAACGGTCTTGATTTCGGAAATATGTCCAATGGACGTGGAGGCCCTACAAGAATACTGCGAAAGAAATTTGTAAGTTTTTTTTCCTTTTGCAAATGCGCAGATTTCTTTCATATTCTCTAGTCTCCTTTTTTTAATGGCAAAGATATCCATATGATTTATATAATCCCCAGAATAAACGCAATTTTCCATATTTTTGACTAGAGAAAGTTAATAATACAGTTACTTTAATTCTTTTTTTAGCGACGCAGTTCCTCTCCGGATGGTGCAATTTATTGCCACGTGCGTCTGTAAGGCAATTGACCATTTACACCAACTGAAAATGGCACATTTCGACTTAAAATGCACCAATGTCTTGATCAGTCAGCAAGGGATCCCCAAACTGGTGAGCTGTTCGCTGGCAACATCTTTGTTCGAAAAAAGTTTGAATCTGAAAAAATGCTAGATATCATTTTATTTCTATTCTTGATATCTCTCCGATATATTTTATTGGCTAAATAAACCCTTATCTTATCTTTTATCGATATCAGATAATATGTTAAATAATAATTAGCTTTTCGATCTAACTGGATTTTTACGTCCGTAGCATAGCACATGAAATGGAGATTATGACTGACAGAACTTGTTATTCAGTTTTCTTAGGCTTAAACGTTAGATCTTGTCTACGCTATATGCTCTCTTTTGTTCTCTCCTTTTTTTTCATTCATTTACGAATATTTATGTTTTTCAGTGTGATCTGGGGTCGGCTCACCCATTGACCGAGGATGGGGAAAGTATTTGGGGACCGGGATTGGTGAACTTCACCCTCCTTAAAAACCTGACCCCTGAAGTCCTGACTGGCACCTCCGCCTCCTGGAAAGTAGATTTCTATGCTCTTGGTGTCATGTTGTTTGAGTTACTCGAAGGCAGGTAAGAAGGGGACGTTCGAAGTTACCATGATTCAGAAACTGGTAGCCATTTTGGTGCCCATATCAAATATTTTGAAAGACTACTGGACCAAATACACACTAACCTCCGCTATTACTGCGAGTAAACTTAACAGGTAGTTATAATATAGTTTTTCATTTGAAGGAAAATTGCATAATTATAGAAATGGAGCATTTTGCATTCCATACCTATCAGAATAATGCATATCAATGAATATCTACTAGAATGACGATTTCTAATAAGTCTACTCGATCTATTCAGACACCCTCTGTGGATTGAAGTTCCCAGCAAGCGTGAAGCCACTCGGAAAATCTTGCATGGAACCATCATCTACACAGATACGGATTATGTCTTCAGGGACCTTATTGACGGTCTTGTTTGGTGTGTAATACGTTATTGTGACTATTAGTAATCTTATGTGATGTATATGTTTGAATGTTGGTTTATAACTGTGAAAAACCTTACATATTTTAAACCCAGTTTATGCATCGTTCTGTTTGACATAAATGTGAATAATGTTCACATTTAGTCTTTTTAAAATGTCTAAAGATTTCTATACGCCATGTAAATATCTAAATGCGTTTTCCCTTTTTTTCAGTAACTTGGACCAAAGACTGGACAATATTGATGATATCTTATATCATGAGTAAGAATCATTGATAATTTTTTTCACTCAAACATTCATGAAAGCTTCTTTATCATGAGCCAAACTTTCTAATACGCATCAATTATTTCTTGCTAATTTTGAAAATTTGATCAGTTAATCTTATTTATTATTTTGTTTTATTCTATTCTTTTTATTTATTTATTTATTTATTTATTTATTTATTTATTTATTTATTTATTTATTTGCTGCAGTTGGCTATTCGACTATTACGTAAATGACTTTCCAGCCGACTTGGTCACTTCTCCCATCTTGAGCATTGCTCAGGTAAAGGGTCGCTTGAACTCTTTTTTTTTTTTTTTCGCATAAATGCAGCTCCAAACAAAATTAATTGGCAAAATGAATGGCAAATGAGATAAACCTGGACCGATTTAAGTATATTTACATCAATAAAAACAGCGAAATGGCAACGAAATTGTACGTGACGGACACAAAATTCACAGCTTACAAATGTTTACTGCAGAACACCAGATGCACTGTTGGTATAACATATTTGAATTCTGTATTTTACTTTAGCTAATTATATTCTTTTCTTTTATTCTTCAATTTATTAGTATCATTATTATTTTGTATCATTAGGAAGTTATGGCCAACGATGAGTTAGTTTTAACACTTCTGAATGAACGCAGCAGAAGCGTACACAATGAAACCAGTGAATCCGACTCCGATTTGGCGGACATTCTGGCCTTTTACAACGAAGCCAGCGATGGCTAGGAGACTTCTGTCGACTGACACTTCACTTTCAATATTTATTATCAAGCAGCCATCTCTATAAACTTATATTATTTACAGACGTTAGCAAGTGTTAATCGGTTTTGATATTAAACATAAAGTTGTGGGCAGTATTCAAATAAGAAAAGTATTGCAATTACCTCATATTATCCATACTGAATGTCAACATTTTGAAAATCTACATAAAGTGGTGCTATATGCATGACAGATACATGTACATAACAGAGAATTGATATCATGGGTTACAGGGTCATTGCATTCGCTACCTTCTAATTTTTCCTTCTTATGTATTTTTAGTATGCATTGACCCATTTTTTTAATATATACGTGCCAAAGCAAAATATTTCAATAATAAAACATGTTGAGAATTTACCCAGTATACAAAAGTACAGGACACAGAAAACAATGTTCGTATGAAACTGCTATGAAACTAGTGTTCGTTAAAACGCAAATATCCCTGTCGTGAAATCTGGGAAATAGGTCTACATTTGCTCATGGTGTTAAATGAGAGGCTCGACCAGTTAAACCAAAATGTCTTAAACGAAACTCACATAGTCGGCAGAAAGTGACGCATTGCAATTTAAAACATTTAGTTATAATATCAGTCTAACTTATACGCGCTTTTCCTACGAGAGATAAAAAAACATTCGTACTGTAAATTATGAAACCTTCTTTTTATCTTTTTTTTTTCTGAAAATCCTCCTCTAGAACAGTAACAACAATAATCCAATGTCTGCACGATTTTGTCAAAGCTCCGAAGTTGGTCATCGCTACAAATCAGCCGACAAATGCATATCTCTCAGGCGGAAGTCTTATCAAGGTAACAAGTGACACTAGTAGGAGAAAGTGTATGTTGCAGGCTATGGTGGAGAATAATGACGGCTAGTATTTGTTTTTCTATTTTTTCATTTCTCATTTTATCTTATTTTTCTCAAGAGACCCATTTTTATTGGAGACCTTTACCAGGATCAAGAATATGGGTTGAATGGGGAGAGGAGGGAGGTTAAGAATGACAGTGTTTTTCCATTTCCATGGACCTAGCAGAACTGATGAAAGTCTTCACAAGGAAAGTTGCTGATTACACATACATGACCTGTGTATCAGTGTGTTTCAGTATCCTGTTTTAAATAATTTTGAAATGAAATATTTTCTACATATATCACAGAACTTATATGAAAGTAAATTTACATTAAAACAGCAATGACAAGTGGTGTATGTCTTTGCCACAATCACAATAAAATGTAAAAATGAATATCTTTATTTTTAATGTATGTCTGATTATTCTAAAAAGGATATAATGGTAACAGAGTGCCAGTTGAAGACTAGACTATTTCATAACAAAAAAAAAAAAACATTGATACAGGTACTGTATACTATTGGCAAATTACAATAGTTTCCTTCAAAGTAAATGAGATCAGTTCAGTTTGTTGTGTTCCCTGTAAAATTATGACAATACTGCATTTCTATTTACTTTAACTTCATGCCTTTTCCTCACAAATCTTGAAATGAGATCAGTTCTATACCTTGCTCTTTATAGAACTGTCTCATGGCTGGACTTGTAAGAACTTGAACTTCATGCAATCTGTCTGTTGACTTAGCAAAGTCATCTGGGCCTTCCCCACAGCCACCTTGGGGGTCTAAATTTGGATACCCAGGGTGGACCATTAGTTCACACGACACCAAAGATTTATTCTTATTAATGTTATTATCTGGTGAAAAAATTGCTTTCAATGCACTCTGGATTCGTTCCTCAGTCATTTCATTGCCCATGGTGGTCATGCCCAGGAAATAATCAGTTGACCTGACAATTGAAATCAATTATTTTAGCATACAGTGAAATAAATCAGTTGTGGAAGCTGAAAGGATAAGACCATGAACGGGAAAAACATTTTTGCTAAATATATCAACCTAAAATATCTTTCTCTATTTATTTATTCCATTAATAAATTGTATACAAATTTTTAATGAAACAGAGAGTCATTTAAACCTTTTTCAAAGAGTCTGGCTTCAGGCTCACTTTAAAAACTGTTTGTTTCTAACAAAAATCCTCACCTGATTCCATTCTGATAAAACAATTCCTTGGTTTCTACTGCACTGTTCACTACTGAAGTTAAGAATTGTTTCCAGTCACTGTTAAGCCAGGGTGCAGAGAGATCCTCCACTGGAAGTCTGGTGCAGGAAATGTTGTGACTAGATAGGACTTCAGCAAACACTTTCCTCACTCCTGAATGATAGGAGTCCGACACTTTTATATTTGCCAAGTATTTAACAGAGATGTCACAAAAATGGAGAGATTTAATTGGGTCTAAATAAAAAATATATCTACCAGTTTTACATCTGAACCTCAAATTGAAAATTATATGTAAAGCATTATGTATGTTAACAGGATTTTTCACTAGAATTTGGGGTTCATACTAGACAAGATATAATGAGGGTCTGCAATTTTCCAAATGGTATATCAAGAGCCTCCCAAAAGTTACACTTGTGTAAACCATGCGACTGGCCAACATGTTTGAAGGCTACTTACCATCCAGGGTGTGGACATGCTGATGTCCATCTACATGATGTGGAAGCTGACCACACAAAGACTGGAACTTCTCGAGCTGACTTTCTAATTCTAACTTCACCTGCAATAAAAGAAATTGCATTTGAAATTAAATAATAATTCTGCATGTGTGTGTGTGTGAGTGTGTATCATCCAGATCACACATAATTCTACCTTCCAATTAAAAGCATTGCTTTATATTTATTTTATACAATCCAGGATCAGATGCCATAAGGATTACACCAAGTATAACATTTTTCCAATAAAAAAGATGTAAGCTCTCAAATCACAAAAATAAATTACATAATTTAACTGAAAAAAAATAATGAATGACATTGACCTCTTTCATATCCACTTTCTGTGCTTGTAAAGCTTCTCTGAAGCCCATCTTTCCTAATTTCCAACCATTTGCATCTGTGAATGTGCAGCCACTGTTCTGAAATGACTGGCAAACTGGCTGCCCCTCAGTTATGTTGAAGTGCAAACCTGCAAAAAATTAAAAGTAAAAATTAGAGTAAAATTAAACCTTTTGTGTAAAAATATCAGTGAAGTATAAACATTAAGTTGTAGTCAAATTATACCAAAGTCTGCTGTGTAAATATCAGTGAACTATGGTATTATAGCACCATAAAACAGTCTCATTATCTTTGTTTGTCTCTATACGTTCTAGGCCATTTCTTAAAAATGTATATGTATGGAGAGCATAACATTGGTTGATTTCAATTTTAATCAGAAATTCAGGATTCAGGTTATGTAAACAATCCATGAGTTGTTAGAAATTTTGTGATGTTTTCTATTCCTTGTAATTATAATTTTTTCAACTAAAAAGCATGAAAACTATGTAGAAAAAGCAAATGAACCAGTTTTTTACTTAATTTGACTGGTCTCTGCACTGTGGTGTTGGTTTAAATATCCTACATTACTCTACCTTCACTTTCACTTACCAACAGGTATATTGTACTCAGAGATAAGTTCAGCAGCTTGCTGGGCAGCTTGACCACTGACCATCAAGGTTGTACTTGTAACAGCCCCTGCCTTGTAACATTCTACAATGCCTTTGTTCCTCTCCTCACAGTAACCAAAGTCATCAGCATTGATGATAAGATGCTTCTTCATTCCTGCAAAAAAAGCACATTCAGTATTTAATTAAATTACAAAAGGTAATATTTGGATCAATCTAACATAAAAGTGGCAATTACTGAGAGAATGTCATTTACATAGCCATTTTGTTTTATCAAATAGATAAAATGAAGAGAAATCATGAATACTTAACTCACTATTTATATTTTAAGTCACGAAGAAGTAAGAAATTCTGCTACTTAAATCAAATACAGCAATTAATTGCTTAAAAGCATTATATGTGCATTCACTTCTCTCATCCACAAATACACACAAGCAAGAGGGACAGCACAGAAGATTTTTTTTTTCATATTCCTAAAAGGCAAATGGCTATTTTTCATGGATTTCCTAACATTTTGAAAAAACAACCAATACTCTGTGTTGTTTAACTTTGTATGAATGAGGAATAATAACATTATTGGTAATTTGGGATTGGTGACAAAGAGTGGTCATAATTGTATAACAGATATGTCCATCAAACATGTCCTTATGGGGAAATCATTCATTACTTGATTAAGTTACTTATATATATATATATATACTCACTTTTCTCATAACAGGAGGTACAGCATGGGAGAAAATTGTTTTTTATATTTCATCATGATAATATTTTTTGAAAATAAAGCAAATTCATTTCAGAACTTAGTTGACTAAAGGTTGATTGTTTGGTTTTAATGGGAGTCTTGTCTAAGGGAACATTTAATACAGTAATTTTTAATATTGGCTGCATTTCCCTTGATAGAGTCATTCTTTATCCATCAATTCTTTTCTTTCTCATGAACTGCACACAGTGTGACGAGAAAAAACTGCTGCACAATTGAGACCAAATATAATTTTTTTAGGATTAAAAAAAGTTGAAGAATACACAATAAAATAAGACATAAAAAACAAGATCACAACTGGCTAAATCACACATTTCCTTTTTTTTAATATTGAACTTTCCAGACAAAGAAAGTTGGTACATAGTAATTTATAGGTAAGTTTTTTTTTTTTTTTTCTTGAATTTAACTTTTTCCTAAAGAATACAAAGTCTCCAATCAATATAGCACTATTTTGTTTTTTCACTCTTTTTATTCATTTATCTATTTATTGTTAAAAGGAGGGCACCATGCATCATCAAATAGAATGCATGCACAAAATATATTTAAAGACCATCCCCAAAATAAAAAATTAAAAATAAATAAATAAATAAATGTGATGTTATCAACAGTATTTTAATTACAAGCATGATCCCTGTTACAGTTTTTGAAATGACAGCGAGTTCGATAAAATGTTTTATGGATATTCAAGTATAATTAATATCCAATCATTATATGTGGCAAATATCATAAATATTCAAATATTATATATAGCCTTGTGAAACAGCCACTAATAATTTGTCAAAAATAATTCTGTATCATTTATCGGGATCTTCTAGATTACAAAAACTGAGTGCACCACAGTAAGTCATCTGTATGAATTAATGGTATTGTTGCCTTGTTCATGATGAGACTGAAGCAAAATTTGCAAATAGGGGAGTTTGCATGCAAAGAAATGATTTTCTTGTATGGGGACATCTGAACAACAAATCTAGAATGGTCAAGCTCAAAATTTGTAAGAGTGCGATTGATGAAGTCATCTTTGTTGTATTGTGCTTGCATACAGATGACACATGTAAACACCCCATGCTGAATGAACAAATCTTGATGCACTGAACATATTGGGAGCTCTTTGTTGGTCAGCTGAGTGTACTCTTTCCTAAGCTGCATGAAGTCCATAATCTTTTTTGATGATGCCGGCACAGAGTGTGCTTTCTCAAGGGCTGCCTGGATTTGTTTTGCTGAGTAGAATTGAATGTGCATAACATCTGATGCTTTCAGTGCAGGACACTCAAAAGGATACAGGTCCAACAGTGCCATTTTTTCAAAACTACAACTGTTAGTTGACAAACTTTCAGGTTGTCCACCTGTCACATTATCGGCATTGAGCAATGTATTGCTCCATCTATAGTTTCCTGATATTTCAACTGAAGGCAAGTTAAAGATATGTTGATCTCTGTTCCCCGTATCACTACCATGTAATACAGTTTCTAAGGAAGACCTTGGCTGCAAAGACTCCCTCTGGGCTGATATACGCGCATTATCTGTCTCCATGTCAGCAGTGGTCGAGTCGGCAGTTTCCTCCTTAACCTCCACCTCTGAGATATTATTAGTGTTAATTATTGGCCTGTGAATAGCGTTGTCTTTCTCCAGGTTTGACACCATGATTTGATTCTGCTCTGAGCTCAAGAGTGACACACGGTTGACACAATCCTCTGCAGCATAAGAAGCAACCAGTCCAGACTTCCTTGGGTGACTTAACAGTCCACCATTAATAAAATTTGAATTATATTCGGGCTGACTAATTTCTCCTACAACAGGACCAGCTCCTACTGACTCAGAATGCTCCTGGTTTAATGCTGGGCTTTCTGTTTCATCGTCAACTGGTTCGTATTTGATCTGGAACTGACACCAGTCTTCTGGCTGTGTGTTTACTTCTGTGCCTTGGTTATCACTACTGCCATTCATACTTGGTGACATTCTGTTAATGCCAACTTGGTCAGATACTCCAGTGACTGTATGTTGGGACGGATATGAGCTTCTCTTGCTTTCTATGACTCTAGGCAGAATTATCTGTCTCCACAGACTTTTTAAAGTTGAACCTTTGTGTTTTTCTTTTGTCTCTCCTGACCCAGGATGTGAACTGACATGATCACTTTCATTGTCAGAAGGCACAAAGTCGTCACTCTCATCTTCATTTTCTTCTGAAGCAGCCAGTGTCATCACTTTTTTGGCTTTTTCTTTGGCTTGGCGAGACAGTCTCTGCACAGAACTGTTAGGTGATGAGGCCAACACATGACCAATATTTTCATTATCATTTTTCTTTCTTGGCCAAAGATGGGGACTAGCACAATCACTTCCACTGTCAGAAGGCACAAAGTCATCAGAGTTGAGATCCTCTTCATCTGTGTCAGCCACAGTCTTCACTTTTTTGCTTTTTACTTTAGCAGATGGTGTCGGAGCATTCTTCTTTTTAACTCTCCTGCCTGCAGCATTTTTCTTCTGTTTACCTTGTGAAGGGAATGGGGTTTTAACTTTCAGAGGATCTCTTTTGGCATCAAGCAATTTTCTCCATTTCTCCATGGCAGATGGCACTGGACTTACATTCTTAGCAGACTGACTCAGCCTAAGGAGCAGCTTACTAGCAGACCCAGTGTCTGCACCTTGGGGTTGGATGTTTCCTTTCTGTAAGGCGATTGACTGCATCAAAGTTGATGCCCAAGGCAGGGTGGTAGCATCAACTTGTCCAACATTCTGTGTAGTACTCTCTGGCTCTCTTATCCTCAATGAGTTAGTGAAACTCGGACTTTGAGAAAACGGCTGGGACTTTTTGGTTGTGGTGGCACTTAGTAACACAGCACTGAGAAGAGGGTGTGTTGAAGTGGTGCACTGGCCACCATTACTGACAGATTTATTCACCTGTGGATTTGGTTGTGCTTCAGGGTTGGATATGGTTTTTTCAACATTGCCGTTTTCTTCCAGTTTGATGTTCTGCTTTTTCTCTGGATAAGAGTCCTCCAAATGACCCATTTTTCTTTTTCGGTCCTCCTTATAACTTGAAAAGGGGCTTTCTGCTGAATTGTCACCAGTTTCAATTAGTTCTTTGTTCTGAATAAAATCTTGTTGGCTTGTGTCATGATATTCTGAAGTTTTCTTTCTCTTGTCCATAATCATTCTTTGTAAACTGCTATGCATGCTGGCTCTTTCTTCATTTGATGGCTGTTTGGGGGAATCAAAGGAGATAGCGCTACTGTTATTGTCAGACTGTTCTAGTAAATTTAAATTGCCATTTGATTTTTGCAGCATAGAAAGCAGAGTGGTATGCTTTTCTTCTAAAGGTGAACTTCTATATGTTGTCTCTGATTTTGAATTGATAACATTTATCATTTGGGGGAGAAGATGTGGAACATCTAGGTTGTCATACTCTTGTTTTATTTGAAGTAACAATGAGTTCACAGGATCTTCGCTCTTCTGCCAGTCTTCTTCTTTATCTTGAATTTCTTCAGCAGAAGCCATGGTTACTCTATCAGGAAAAGAAAAAAACTTGTATAATGAAGTGACTATTACTATGCCTGTTTATTACAAAACTTATATCAATACAGCATATATGGATAAATGTTTCAAAAATATATGCCAAATAATAAATAACTTAATAATTATTAAAATAGAATAAAATGATGATCGATTCAACTATATTTTAGCACCAACTACTAGCTGTGTCCAAGAAATTAATACTCAGTTGCCTTAGCAAGGGTCTCCCGAGTGTTTTTCTAGACTTTACTTTTCTCTTTACACAAACATCCATGTGATTTTGAGCCAAAAAGTCAGTTGGCAAATTTCCTGAATACCCTCAACAATTTTCTTCCCTTAAATGAAATTTTAAATTAAGAAATAAAGTATAAATTTAGATTTATATTTATCATTTTTCTTTGGTTTTCTTTAACAATAAACCCATAGATTGCTTTCTTTTGGAATTAAAATGCAATTTTAATTTTTACGGTTTCAACATTTATTTTAATTGTCATTTAATTTGGCATATTTTAGGAATATTATATAAAAGATGGGAAGATCTGAGACAAAAGTTTATCTTATGTCCTATCTTTCTTTCTTCCCTTAATCTTTGTGCAGCAGTGGTGTTAAAGTTAAATTAACCTTTTATCAAGTGCGTAAACTATTTTATCTTACTACCAGTGTAAGATAAACATGCTGGCCTACTAATATGAACCGGTTTTGTGCTGCCCCCTGCAGGGCAACCCCAACTACAGGGACCATGCAATACTAGCAGGCCAAAATGATCACTGTGATCATGGGACGTAGCCATGCCCATTCATCACAACTTAAAAACTTATTACATATTTCAAATCTGATTTCAGTGATGACAGAATAGCTGTCACATCATATACAACGATTGGCTATAGTAACGTTATTCCGCCAAGCCATGGTTATCGTTAATTTTCACATCCTGTTATTGTAATATGTTATTTATCTGGGTCGTAACCTTATATCCACATTGAGTGCATTTCTTTGCAAGCAAAGTTCAGAATTGCTTTTCACAATGCCTCACCTAACAATATAAATTGAAAAGAAAAGATACCTAGAGTTCAATTCAGGTTTCCTTTCTCTGCCGTAGTCAAACTTCAACCTGCTGCTGCCGTGCCATTTGCATGACCTCGCTCCATGACCTTCGTGTCGTAGGCAAGTCCTTGAACCCTTGACCTTTACCCTACATTTGCTCTGTTACGATTAGATGTTTTCTCCGTAGTGCGATCGTTACATTGCCAGATATTAAATCGATTAATGTATAACTTTTACTGAATCATTTTTTAAAGCTGAAATACATGGAATTGAGACTAGATACTGTATCAGTTAAGGGGCCTGTATACCTACCGTGTTGTTGACCGCTGATTGACTTGCCCAGGTATCTCGAAGACGAGTTACTTTTAGGTTATTTAGGGTCAGTGCTTTCAGCCCTGCACTGTTATGTAGTTCACGCGCGGTTAACAGGACAGGTTATTTAACCATCCAGGTTTCGCTATATATAAACACTGGAACCGACTGCATGGAAAGCACTTCCCCTTTGTTCACACTTAATTGGGTCGAATCTTAGCGGTTTAACCTACCTCACGCACACACTGATCATGACGGATGACGATTGCCCTAGATATACTTATCTAACTTGTTAATTCTTGATTAGGCTCAATATTAAACAATGGCCTTTCACTCCAGGTACATTGTACTTGGATGTAAAAATGTGTGAATTTAACAACGTTAGTTGTAAAAATTTGCAGAGAACTTATTAAAACAGAGAAGCATTTGTTAAATTCAGTATATTGCCTACTTGTAAATATAGGTGTAAAACCTGTCATTTCACAAACGATACATATGGGGGATATGGTAAGTAATGCGGGTAAGTCAGCCTAACGCAAATGCTCAGGGTCATATAACAATGTTTACTTCTTTTTTTTTTTTTCAATAAAAAAAAATGTTTACTTCTTTTGTAGGCCTTTTATATATACTGGTATAACACCAAGTTTACATTTTGTACAGCAGTATGGAATCAATTCTTTTAGATGGCATTGGCCCCATTTATGTAAATTATATGTGCCAATTAAAGCATTATGTCATCATTTGATATGTTTCAAAGCTGTCATATCTGGGACATTCTAGACTAATCTCATTTTTCCTAAAAAAAAAAAAAAAAAAAAAAATTGGTGGTGGCTACTGGCTGGTCACTTACAACTGTGCACCATGCTCGCCACATGCTTCATACCTACCAACTTTGACAATTGCCAAAGAGATTGCCTCACACGCCCTATGTCTACCAACCCAGCACAAACACACACATACCAAAAAATTTAAGGGATAACAACTGTTCATTTTGGCAAAAAAAAAAAAAAAAAGAATTTTCCTGGGTAAACAGCAATTGTCCCATACTTACCAATGGATAATTAATCCATTTCGACATTCAAAGTTAGGGTGCTTTCCCAGAGATTTAGATCGATCTAAAGATTAAGTTTTAGATCGACCTAACTCCCTGGGGGTTCACGCTAAATTGCAGTCAGCCGAGCGGGCACCATAGTTAATTACACCCTTACATCTTTTAGTAGGCGGGACAGACGCTTAAGCCGGCCAAGCTGACAATAATCTAGTGAGACTCCCCACAGGGATAGATCCATCTATAAAATCTATGGAAATGGGGTGTTAATTCCTGTTTTTTTTTAAAGTTATTTTGTAATAATCTCTTACGAGATTAATACAAAGTATAGCCATCAATGGAGGTCACGTGGTCAGATGCCATGCACATATTTCATATTAATTACTGTAACTGCTGTTTTTTTGGTAAAATTAAATGTTATATTTCTATGCGTTGTTTACAGTGTATTTATTGTGAAATGTAGATCTCATACGAAGAGTTATCTCTTTAAATATATGAAATAAAAATAAAAAACGTTGCCTCATTTAATTACGAAATTAAAGGCATAATAACTCTTTGTATGAGACCTATATTTCACAATAAAAACCTTGTGAATAACTAATAGAAATATAATATATTCTGTTTTACCACAAAAACAGCAGTTATAGCTTTTATTCTGATATTTGAACTTGTCTTTAGACCACGCGACCTCCATTGATGTCTATACGTTGTTAAAATCTCTTAAGAGATTTTAACAAAAAACCAAACTTTTTAGAAAAAAACCAGGGACTAACTTTGAATGTAAAAATGGATTCATTAACCATTGCTAAGTATGGGAAAATTGTTGTTTACTCCAGGAAAATTCATTTTTTGGCCGAAACGAAGAGTTATTATTGTTTTAACTGTTTTTAATGCTTTGGAAAGAAATGCCACTTTTTTATTGGCCAAGCAATAAGTAAGATTTTTGTTGCTTTAACATTTAAACATAATGAAATATGATGTTGGTTTTCAGTAATCAAATCCCAGCCAATGGCATAGATACCTAAGGAACCATTCCCACAGATATTTGGATCGATCTACCTCCCTGGAGAGTCTCACTTAATTGCTATCAACCTAACCGACTTAAATGTCTGCATCGCCTAATAAAGCGGTTAGGGGGTAATTATCTTTACTCTTGCTGATTCGGTAGGCATGACAGACATTTAAGCTGGATATGTTGTTAGCAATCAAGTGAGACTCCCCAGGGAGTTAGACCAATCCAGATGGATCGATGTAGGGATGGGAACCCAGTCTAAGAGATGGAATCCCTCTGGGTGAGCTACTCATGGCAATGTGGCAAAGTGGGGTTATATGCAATGGGTATCCATGGAGACCATTTAGTCTTAATTCAAAAGATGAACTTTATTTGGCATGGGATTTTAACAGAAAATAATAACAATATTATTAACTTTTCCCCCTCAAAGTTAAGTTTACTGTTTATGATTCCAGTGCTCAGTTTCAATGTCAATGATCTACATGCTATATACAGCATGTACTATGAACAATGATGAGTTTTAACTTATTTGTGTAATTTTCGTCAACTAAGGCCAGGCTGCTAAGGTGTGTAAAAATATGGTTGCTTTGGCTTCCATTTATATCCTTTATACTTCTTCCTGTATTTAATGCTAGTAACAATAGTGTCTCTTCCAGGAAAAGCAGATATGCCTCCAAATTTTGTGTCAGTCTCTGGATGAAATCGTTTCGGTTCTAGTTGAATATGGAGATTCCTTGGCAGATCCAGTTTGGCCAAGTCCTCATAAGCAGTAGTGTCTCTGACAGGAGTAAGAAAAAAATCGAGGACATCTGCCCCTGTATTCATATCATGCAGACTTGTGTTTGAGATGGTATGTCCGAATTCTTCTTCACACTTTGTCAACACCTGTCATAATGAAAGATAAATGGAAGAGTCTCAATGTTCAGAATTAATATATTTAAAAGAATTATTTTTACACTTTTAACATTATAAAGGTGAAACTACATTGATGAAAAGGGGTTCAACTTACCAAAAACTGCAATCTTTAGCTAAAATCTCAGAGATCCCTGAGTGATTAAAATTCTCTAAAACAATAAAGACTGTGATACTTATCTGATCAATGGTATGACAGGGGCGGACCCAGGATTATTTGAAGGGGGGGGGTCAATTTTTCAGGAGTGACAGGCCTCAAATGCAAAGCTGACCCTCGGCCCCCTTGGAGTGTTTTGGAGAGAAACAGTGCCATTGGAGCAGTTAAGAACTATAAATCAGCTAGCCAAAATTCTAATTCCAAGAGGGGATATATTAGTGTGACTTTTTTTCAGAAACCAAAGGGGGGTCAGGACCCCCCTGACCCCCCCTCTAAATCCACCACTGTATCAATTGCTCAATGCATTACTGAGTCCATGATGAGTGGAATTCCTTGGGAACCACTTGATTTACATATAACCCAAGCTTAAATAAAGGGGTACCTTGAATTTAAGCAATGGGTCTGTGAGTGGCTTTTCTGTCCAATCAGAGGAATCCCCATATACTTCTTTCACCAAAGTCTCCAGTCTTTCTCTGACATTTTTTGGTGGAGAATAGCCTCTGTTTGTTGATGTTGAACTGAAAATAATAATAATAATAATAATAATAATAACAATAATAATAATAATAATAAATAAATCATAAATACAGACTAACAGTAATGCATTGGTTTGGATTTTTTTCAATGCTTAAAAACTTGCAACCTTAACAATTACAAGATATAAAGTGATATAATTTAACTGGCAATTTATTTATTTAATTAGCTTTTTTCTATTTAAATAATTTCTTAGAGGGGGAGGGGCTTTATTTTCCATAATATGTAACAGATTGAAAGAATGTTCATTAAAATTGAATATAATCAACAAACTGATTTTTCAAACAAACATATATCTGTTAACAGAGAAATTAAATAAGATTCAGATCTCAATGCAAAGCAAAATCTTCAAAACAATTTTCTTCAAATGAATGTCCCTTACCTTTTTCCTTGCAGAGACTGAAACATGTTATGTGTGCTTATTCCATCATGTATAAAATTTTTAGCCCTTTTCTTGGCTTCTTCTTTGTCCTGTATCAAGGGGACTTTCCACTTTTGTGTCTCATCTTCTTTCTTTTCTGAATCCTCAGCAGTTTTATTGGCGAGATTCCATATTCTCCATGTTGACCGTCCTCTACATGGATATACTGAACTATTGTGCTTAAATTAAAAAAAAGACTAATAATAATTTTAAACCTGACTGACAACAGTACACTTCAGTCAACATTATCACATGGCCAGTTTGTGCTCTTTCTGGAAGAACCCAAATTCCAACTTCAGTTATTTTTTATGTTTTAAGCGCAGAAAATGACTATTTTTACATAACAACACTTATGGGACCACAGATATAACGGACGTGCCTGGGACTACCGTCAACTTTTGTGTGAATGACAATTTCGACCTTTGACTAGCACTAGTTAAAACTCTATCATTAGCTTGGCAACAAACAACGAATCCTTAAACACTAACAGAAGTGACTACTGATTAACGTTGATATTTGATGTCACAAACACTGGAAGTAGAAATTGAATTAACGTTAATGTAACGTGTAGTTTCATAAATGCAGGTCAATTTTTACTATGAAGCTGTAGGAGTGATATTGGAGCAAAGCATGAGGTTTTTGAACTTCGTGTTTAGATTTTTGTACACTTACCACAGAAACCAAAATTCGATGGAGAGTAGTGGACAGCATTACGATGCTCACGTTTTCCGGGCACACGGAAATGTCTGACTACGCATGCGGGACGTACTATATCTTAGACTTCCGGATTTTATAAGAAACATTGCGGGAAGTATGAAGGCGAATAGCTGTTAACCATAACTTTTCCAGCTAGGTAGGTTTTGGTTGAATATGAATATAATGCTAAGAGATATAAACCACATTTGCGACCTGATCCTCTTGTAGTTTGATTATATAAATCATTTAGCAATAAGTTAAGATACATACAGTAGGTATCTCTCTAAATTTTACGACAGAGCTTAGCATTTGCATTACACATTGTAGTTGTACTATGTGAGTCACTATAGCACAGTAGGAGCCACCTGTCTTTTGTAATGCAAGGGACTTGATTCTTTTTGTACAGATAGCCACATATCTGAGAATGGATAAACCGTTTTAATACTAAAGGTAACTCCTATAGATCAAAATACTTATATTTTAATGACATGTACAGTAGGGTCCATACAATCATACATGATTTTCTTTTTCTAATTAAGTTAGTGCATTGCAATTTTTTCCCCAGATAATTATCTAATTTCAGTAGTGAACAGGCTGTCATGCCTCTTGTGACCCTCCAGTTAGGACAATGTGGGAACCAGATAGGAGGTCAGCTGTTTTCAACTATAATTGAAGATGCAGACTGCAAACATACAGGTTAAACAGCATTCTGTGTTCTCAACAAATCATTCATGTTTTTCATCTTTTTTCAATGTGCTTTTTAATATCAAAATGTCATTTACTTGTGGTAAGCATATATAATTTTTTAAATACATACACAGTTTGCTGTATATTTATTCATTCATTTATTTATTGCACTCTTTAGGTGTAACCAAGAAAGAGAATGACAACTACTTGGAGGCAGTCAACGAAAGGTTCTTCGTGGAAGACAAACATGGAAAATTGGAAGCAAGGGCTGTGATGGTTGACATGGAAACAAAAGCAATTTCCAAGACAAGACTAGATGCCAAGAAGAGTGGGAAATGGCATTACCCTGACAAGCAACAGTTCTGCCAAAAGAAAGGTTCAGGGAACAATTGGGCTCACGGGTTTTGTGCACATGGACCTAAAGCTCATGACGATATCATGGCTCTTGTGCAGTCAGAGGTCGAGAAATGTGACCACTTTGATGGTTTCCTGACTCTGATGAGCTTAGCTGGAGGGACAGGTTCTGGTGTCGGTGCTTACATCACACAGTGTCTCAGGGATGAATATCCACATTCTTTTATCATGAACCAAGTTGTATGGCCGTACAACACAGGAGAGGTCATTGTGCAGAATTACAATGCGTTGTTGACATTGTCGCAGCTCTACCTCTACTCTGATGCATTGCTTATCATGGAGAATGATAAGATTCAGAAAATCTGTTCACAGTTGCTGAATATTAAACACATTTCATTCCAAGATATGAATACAGTAATTGCTCATAAACTGGCTAGTTTTCTTCAACCCACAGTTAGAACAGAAGGCAGTCACACTAGGCAGAACAGACTAGGTATATTTTATTGACATTTTCAGGGATTTCATGATTTTTGTTCCTTTTGGTAAAAGTATTTGGTTCAGTTGACATCACTTTTTTGTACTACTCACAGTTTGCTACCATTATATTCTTGCTGCAGTGATACTGAAAGACAAACTCTCATTATTTTCGGCATGTTCAGTGTTGCTGGTTTAACAGTTCCCCATGTTTTATTTTCAGGTGACATGCTGGAACACCTAGTTGCCCACCCAGATTACAAGTTGCTGAGCTTGCTCAATATCCCCCAGATGTCAGAGGCAGCATTGCAGTACAGCGCATACCAGTGGCCCGGGCTTCTGAAACATCTTAGACAGATGCTCATTGCAAATGCACCCATGGAAGAGGGTTTGTGTAGCTTTTTTTTTTTT